ATACAAATGCATAAAATCGGTGATTGACAATGTGATTAGGTTTTTCTGACAAAACATCCACTTGCACAGTTTGAGATCGATTGGGTCATTGGATGAAGGGATATTTACAAAAAAAGGGGTCCACATGCATTTCATGCCAAACTATAGCTCCTCTTAACACATGGTGTGAGCAATTGAACACTGTCCTAACCAAAGCTAAAACATACTTGTCCAGGTGAGCTAAACACATGGACAGATGTATTCCTGGAACAGTATATACTGATTTATCACCTTCATGAGTGAAATTATCAAGATTTGGTTTGCAGTTTGTAGCACCTCCTTTTCTGACCAAGCCCAAAGACGTCACAAGTTGACAACTTTATCGGTTCTAATTTGATATACTTATGAAACGCTTTCAGCTGACACGCCCAGTTTACTTAACGCTGCCTGGAAGGTGTTTATCATGCTGGTACGTAGTGAAAAAACTACACGAGATAAACACACTGCATTTTCAGTGACACTATTAGGACACCTCTACATTTGACCTTGCTATGGTACAGAGGTACCGGCCTCATATTCTTATATACCTCTTTGAAGTTGGGCCAGTGGGGTAAAATAGTGAGTAAAGGGTATGCTCATCACGCCGAAGATCCGCGTTCAATTACCCACATGGGTACGAAGTGTGAAGCCCACTTCTGGTGTCACTGACCTTGATATTGCTGGAATATTGCTAAAAGCAGTGTAAAGGTTCACTCACTCACTCACTCACCCTTCGAAGATGGACGTACCTTTTTCAGTTGTTACACTACAGCTCAATAACAGTGGTTTGTAAACAATCAGGTCTGGACCCGACAATTCAGTGGCTTAAATATTGTGAGCGTAAATCTACACATTTTGTACATTGACATGTGTCAAGAATTCGGCAAACCTGACCACCTGATCCCATTAGTCATCTTCAAGTGATGACAAGTATGGGGTGCTGAAGATCTAACACGGATGTTTCAAAGGGAATGGGTACAATGAGCTGTCTAAAGGAAACACGGATAATAGCCTCTAAATATATTGGACCAGTAAACACTCAAACATTTGTTTTCTAAATGCAGTTCACTTTATTTGCATTAGCAACAAGCACTCCTCATTAAAATCTGATCCGTTGCTCTGATATGATGCTGCTGTCTTTGGAGTGAGTGAGTTCAGTTTTTATACCGCTTTTAGCAATATTCCAGCAATATCACAGCAGGTACACCCGAAATGGGTTTCACAAATTGTACCCCTGTGGGGAATCTAACCCGGGCCTTTGGCGTGACAAGCAAACACTGTAACCACTAGGCCACCCCACCACCCCCTTTGTTTGGAAGTTCACCCAACCCTTCAAGTGTCCACTTAGTCAAAATAACATGGACCACCTACCTCTGAACATGAACATTGCAGATTTTTGTTCAACACTGCATTTCACAGGAATTACAACTCGTCAGACAAAGGATATGACATTAGAGCTGTGACGATCCATCGTAGTATCGATAATCGTGATACTTTATCTGACGATAAATATATCGATACTTTTGTTCGTATCGTGATATGTATCGTTGACCGTAAAATTGTTAATGTTTACTAGAAATTGATGGTTATGTAAAACTTTACACTGTTACTTGCTATCAAAATATACTTTTGTAAAGAAAATAACTAAAGATAGCATATCGTGATATGCATTGAATCGATTCGCATCGTTCCAAGATATCGCGATACATATCGTATCATGACTTTTCCGTATCGTCACACCTCTATATGACCATGATGACATGAAGATTAGCCACAGGAAAGAGCCCATTTCTGACAAAAACTAGAAATAAACTGTCTTGTGTTCAAGCAATATGTATTGCAACACATACTTTGGCAGCCTGGATTTGGTATGAAATAATTATACATGTCACTGTGACAAAATCCACACTGACAATAATTGCAAATACAATTGTCTTTTCTAAGTATTGTTGCTGTGATCGAACCTTTCAGTAACCATTCAGCATGAAATATTTTCCTAATTCACGTAGAATCATAATTTATAATAAAGGCCTAAAATATAAAACACAAGTGGTTCGGATTACCTGACCGGCCCTTATGTGTTTTGTTTTGTTTAATCAACTTTATTGACATTTGCTCCACATTTTTGCCAGTTTCCTGACAGCAGTGAATCTCATAAAATCGTTTTTTCATCTGTGTCAATGAACATTTAGATACCTCCATGGATTCTGCTTTGTGTAATAATTATATGTGCAGTACATTGTGTATATGAACTTCTGACATGCATGAGTTTTAGTGAAAATAAAAATATATATATATATAGTTGGTAATGTGTGAGTGTCTAAAATACAATTCCAAGACGCGAGCGTACTGTTCAACTGCATAACTTCATAGTTCAGATTTTAAAAAGCCAAGTCCGGCTATTCTCTAAGAAAGTGTGAGACACTTGCATTTCGGAGATATATGTCCACAAAATACAAAACATTTTAAAAATGCTTAAGACATAATACCAATGAAAACATTTACCTGTTTCTCTAATACTTTGTGAGTTTTGGTTTTTTAAACAAATTTTAATTTGTCCGAATATACAGTTTATGAATAAAAATGTATACATCACTTGATATTAGGGTGAGACAGTGCATTATGTTCTAATATTTGTACATATTAAAAAAGAACAAAATGATTACCCTTTTAATTAAAAAAATTGGCGAAACAATTGTTGCCTTTGCCTATCCTACTTGTCCTTTCATCATAAGATCCAAATGTGATTTTTAAAAAAGCTTCAATTCGATCAGGGTACTTAAGCATAGCATGTGATCATGAAAAAAAGAAACATACATATTTCATTTAAAACCAAATTATAGCTCAATTTAACTCCTCTTCAAGAACGTTTCATAGTTGAAATGGTCAGCTCATGAAACACAAACCTCCTTAAAACCTCGAATCTCCTGTTCACAAAGTACTTACTTTCATAGACAACATTATTCCCAGCACTGTCAAAACACTGTCTTCCTACAACTGATTCACTGAAACACTGCCATAGTCAACGGGTCCCAGTGAGAACCCTAGGGACCCAGACTCCCCCAAGCCTTGTCAAACGCACCCAGAATAGCAGATGCTCTTAGGCAGGAGACTGTTTGCTATAAACAACTCCAAGTGGAGAGGCAATATGCTCCCTGATATAAACAGTTGATTGGAAGTACTATTTCAAATCTCTGGTTAACATGAAGCTTTGGGGAAAACAGATTCAGAATGGGGCAAAACCCCTAAGGCATGTAAAGAGAATGTTATTATTGTATCTACGGCAACTCAAAATCACTAAATATAGTTAAACAGCCAACAATAACAGGATCTAGAGGATTTCTAGTCATCCTTACGTGTTCCTCTGTATTCATAGTAATTACCTGACAGTAATTCACCAATCTACACCCACACAATCTTCGTATTTTCTACACAAAGATTTGTACTCCTGGTAATAATACAGATCAGAATATACCATCAGCAATCAATATATTGCAAGTTATTCTCAGCCATTTGATTGGCTTACCAAGCAATTTGTTTTCCATCTGTTTCCAAAATGTACCATGCCCCTTTACTGACTACTATTTCTTGATTGGTTGTTAGTCAGATGGGAAGGGCATACGCGACATTATTCCACTGTCACTGATTTTGTTTTGCCTACAGCTCTTGTCTGTTTCATCATCTTATCAGTGTGAAGTCAGCAATGGGTATATTTTTTTACAAGAATCGTCTTCAAAATAAAGTTTTGGATTTGTGGACAAAACAAAACATTTACTTACAAAACATAAAAAATGGAGTGTGATACTCAGGGGTGGAAATAACCCATTGCCCGACGCCCGATGCCCGAGTCCAGTGTGTTTTTTCTGTCGGGCAAGCAAATTTGTATATCACACTGTACCGGTGTCCAGTTGATATTCCAATGTTAATTATGTTGTTTATTTAAAAAAGTCAACAAGAAACTCGGCCAGTATAGTGGGAAAATTATCAGGGCAAATGATTTTACTTGTGCCACTGTACCGGAGTACACTAGCAATTTTAAAGTTATTTCCAGCCCGGGATATTACAAATTCACATAGTAAAAGAAACAGGTAAGTCTTTCAAAATGCAACTTAAGCTTACATTTCAAAGGCCAGTACCAATCATTCACTAGTTACCGGTACTTTCAAAGGCAGGCTTAATTATTATGAAATGTTTTGGGGGATAATTGACTGCAGCCTTGGCTATAACAAAATATATCGGTTCTTTACTTAAATAATAATGTGAAAGAACATCTTAAGGTAGTCAACATGAAACCTTCATGAAAAACAAATATCCATTTACCAGTGCAAAGCTGTCACTGGATATTGAAAAACATTGGTTACTACTCCCAATGTTCCAAATCCAGGAATAGTTACCAAGTTATCAGCAATGTAATGTAATGCTATTTCATCATATAATACCCTCCTTGTTTCAGTGGTGTGACAACAGGGTCTGCATCAGCACCAGTCAAAGTTCTTTCAAAAGAGATCTCCATTCACTGCGTCCAAAGTACAAAGACTATATTTTACTCCAACTAAATGTCATTGCAGGAAAGATTAGCATTTGCCACTAGACAAAATCAATGAATGTGCAGTGGTTGAAAATAGAGTGAGTGAGTGAATGAGTGATAGTGAGTGAGTGATAGTGAGTGAGTGAGTGAGTGAGTGAGTGAGTGAGTGAGTGAGTGAGTGAGTGAGCAAATGATCAAGCAAGCAAAGATGTTTGACGTTTTGATATAAAGATAGAAAAGGCCGAAAATTCAGATGCGTGTATTGAAAATTGTGAGTGTGTGCATGATTGAGCAGCATCATCATGGTGAAGAAAGTCAAAGATTGGTTTCACATATTGTACCCACTAGGGAATGGAACCAGGGTCCTCGGCATGATGTGAAAACACTTTAAAATGTGTAAGCACCAGAACCTACTGCCCCTCCCGTCTAAGACTTGTGTAAGAAAGTTACCTACCACTGTGACTCCGTCATTGAGAAGGGACTCTCCAAACACGATGATGTACAGCATCTCATTGACGTGAATCTCCTCAAACACAGCCAGCACTGCAACAGGGTCCACCGCAGAGATCAGCGCACTGAATACGAAGCAGTGAAGCATGCTGATAGGCCGCTTGATCCATCCAGCAGCTGAACACCCCCACAATGCAACACCAATTGCCACGGTGTTCCATAGCGTGTTGACGATGGCCAAAAGAAGGATGGTGCCAAGGTTGTTAAAGAAGGCCCTGTTAGGCATGTGGTAGCCAGCATCGTAGATTATTGGAGGCAGGATGAAGAGGAAGAACGTGTTGGCATTGAGGACGTACTGCGAGGTGGATGCTGCGTGGCTGTAATGGAGGGTCACGCCGACACAGATGCCCAGGGTTATGAGCAGACAACTCTCGGGGAACAGCGAGGACAGGCGGTCGTACAAGTGGAACCCTAGAAGTAACAAACACATATACACACAATCATAGGCATATATAAACTCTCCAATCGTAACTACTCGAGTCTTTCCGGCAAGCCGGATGGCATCTCGTACCCTTCTTGTGGCCATGTTTATAAAAATAGTCTAGTACTATTACCAAGGAAAGATAACTCTGAATTTTCAAACATGGCTCCTAGAATATCCTATATCCCGTGGGCAAAACAGCAATACAGTTATTCCCTTTGTAAATATGTTTCAGTGTTTAAAGTTGCTGATCCTTTAGCTCAAAGTTTATGTTTAAATTGTGCTTTGTATAGTTCAGCAAAGTTTCAAACTTCAATGGTGCCGCTAATTTCATGCTTCGAAATGCGTTTTACTACACGCGATTTGATTGGTTTGCCATGATTCTTGGCAATAATGGTGTACAATAGGGGTATGAGTCTTCTTGTAGGTCACGGAAACAGGCGAGTAGTTATGAATGATAAACACTCAGGGCATAGGGAGGAAGGCATTGATGAACAGAGAGGACAAGCGGTCATACAAGAAGAGCCCAAGAAGAAAAGTACAAACACGTAAACAGACAATTAAGGGCATTTAACTCTCAAAGCATTGATGAAGGGCAGATAACTTTCTGGAAGCAGTGACGATAGATGGCATACAACTCGCACAGTGGGGGAGGATAGAAAACTCTCTGGGAGCAGTGACGATAGATGGCATACAACTCGCACAGTGGGGGAGGATAGAAAACTCTCTGGGAGCAGTGACGATAGATGGCATACAACTCTCACAGTGGAGGGAGGATAGAAAACTCTCTGGGAATGGATTTACATCCAGTAGCACTATCAGCATTTGTTTTTCTTCCTATCATATACATCTGATTTAAATGATCATTGACTGGTTACAGTTTCCAAACCAAGTGACTTACCATGGTAAAATGCAGTAAAATACTGATTTACTGATTGTCAGTTTCATTATTTTAAAATAAGATTCATAAAAGATACCCTGAGAGAGAATGCTGTTGAATAATATTTAGATTTTTCAGTTCTTGTATATGATCAATTATTTAATACCAAACTCACTCACTCACTCTAAAGGCACGGAAGAAGGGCAAATAACTCTCAGGGCAATGAGTGAAATGCTAATCTTTACTTTTTAAAGTTTTTTTCCTATGAATTCAGGTGTTTTCACAATGCAGCAATGTTAAACTTAGCTCTAATAATTCTTCCTCTGTATAAGCCACCTACTTAAAGCCATTACATTAGATATGCCTACATCATATTAACAGAGAAATGTTAATTCCATTATTTTACTGACACTACTGCAGACTTGGGTCCTAATAACAGTCTCTATGCTGGTCTAAATATATCCTGTGGTATCCATGTGTTTGTCAACAAAGGACAAAACAGCTAATGATAACAATATTTCCTGATCCCTGCAACTCTGCTGATGGAATTCTGACTGCATTGTTTACCCATGACAACTATATTGTTTATGTTGTAACATTGCCTACATAACTGAAAGGTACTGCTTGATAAATAATTACATATAATGATTAAATGTTGGTATTGATGCACTGTGTGAACACACGCTATATTGTTTATATTGTAACATTGCCTACATATTTGAAAGGTACTGCTTGATAAAAAATAACATATAATGCTTAAATGTTGGTATTGATGCACTGTGTGAACACACGCTCAACAAAATCCCAGCTACACCTAAAGATACAGGCAATCAACAAATAGGTCTTGAGCATGATGTGTTTCTTTCGAAGAGATATCATATCAGGACTCAGTTTAAGGAAATGTAACCTACTTGCAACCTCAGGTAATATTTAATAACCTTGCATCTGCGGCTTGATAAAAGATTTATATTTATTGCCTGAGTTTGGGTATTGATGATTTGCAGCATCATTTCAACAAAAACAAACTGGGTCTGATAAGATCATTTCATCGTCATAACATTTCACAACAGTAACAGTAACAGTCACTATCCGTGCGGCCATCAGAGTCAGTGCTCCTGGAATGTTTCTCATCATCCTGTTTCTCATAAGAAGTCTGTGTAATCTTTGAACTTCAAGATATTAAAATGCACTGGGTCAAGTTGGTACAAAGATAAGGTTGCATTTTTTCAGATTCAGGTTTCATCAATTCAAGTTTGAAATTCTTAAATTATAAAAAACTTATATCGATTGATGAATATGCTGCCATATTGCCAAGGTCAGTAAGCATTAGCCTTATTACTCAATAGGATACAACCCCTAATAATGATTCTTGTTAATTTTTCTTGCTCAGCTATAAAAGGAACTGTTCATTGAAATTTGCATTGGAAGGAAGCTACAAAAAGTACAAATAATTTTCCAGAAATACTTCCAACCATATCCCCCTTAAAATCAAATCATATTACCTGAATATATACTGATATCTTTTTCCTCATCGTTAAAATTTAGGGGGGATAAGGTGGAAGTCTTGTCAGTTTTCCAAAACAAAGTAATCTTGCTGCCCAATATTTAAACCTCTGTACATCAGTCTCACCTTTCACCTGAAGCGTTTGACACACTCCTGTTGTCATTGGCAAATGAGGCAAAATTAAAACAACAGATATGTCAAAATGAAAAAAGAAGGTTGAAAATATCTGGCGCCACAACTGTGAAATTCTAGTCGAATGATACATGTCAATGCACAAACTAAGCAATATGGTAAACATATAATACACATTCTAAATTCTTATACCTTCACAAATTCAAAATTAATTCAAGTTTAGAGTATGAGAATTACATATTAATATCTATTTTAGATTATTCACATTAATAAAAAAACACAAATGGAACACCATATGTTTCCAACCTGAAAACTCAAGACCATATGAGAGCATGCATGGCTACATGATGGGGCAGGGGCTGGTGTGTCAAGGGGTCTGCTTAGTGAGTGAATATGGTTTAAGCCACTTTTAGTTTTAGCAATATTCCAGCAATATCATGGCGGGGGACACCAGAAATGATTTTGAGGAATTGAACTTACGTCTTTGGTGGGACAATTTATTTATTTCTAAAAGAATATGATTCAAGTTTTATTTCTGCTCACAAAATGTAATGACATCTACATCAATATCATTTTAAAATATTTTAAATATGCTACTTCTCAGCAGGTTGTTCAATGTATATGATGTTATGTATCATACAGCGTACCATATGGTTATCATATCATGTTTTCTGACTTAGCTGTACCAGTAGGCATAGTGTTTTAATGTGTCATTACAACCTTAGCGAGTTAAATTCTCACCTTCCCACAAAAATTAGTACATAATTTAGTCTGAGACAAGGCAAACCAGTGACTGATAACCTAATCAATACTCCATCTCCAGAGCAAGATGACAGCAACCAACCAGGTAACGGAACCTAACCAACAAGCAGCAGAGCCATGGGGACCCCCTTTAACCTTACTAACCAGGTCATGGAAGCTTACCATTGCTTACCAACAAGCAGCGGAGCCCTAGGAACCTCCTTTAACCTTACCAACCAGGTCACAGACCTAACCAACAAGCAGCGGAGCCCTAGGAACCTCCTTTAACCTTACCAAGCAGGTCACGGAACCTAGCCAACAAGCAGCAGAGCCCTTGGGACCAACCAGGTCACAGAACCTAACCAACAAGCGGCAGAGTCCTCCTTTAACCTTACCAACAAGGTCATGGAACCTAATCAACAAGCGGCAGAGTCATGGGGACCAACCAGGTCACAGAACCTAACCAACAAGCAGCAGAGTCCTCGGGACTTCCTTTAGCCTTACCAACCAGGTCACAGAACCTAACCAACAAGCGGCAGAGCTCTGGGGGACCTCCTTTAACCTGGACTTCCTTTAGCCTTACCAACCAGGTCACAGAACCTAACCAACAAGCGGCAGAGCTCTGGGGGACCTCCTTTAACCTTACCAACCAGGTCACAGAACCTAACCAACAAGCGGCAGAGTCCTCCTTTAACCTTACCAACCAGGTCACGGAACACCAGGTCACGGAACCTAACCAACAAGCGGCAGAGCCCTGGGGGACCTCCTTTAACCTTACCAACCAGGTCACAGAACCTAACCAACAAGCGGCAGAGTCCTCCTTTAACCTTACCAACAAGGTCACAGAACCTAACCAACAAGCGGCAGAGTCCTCCTTTAACCTTACCAACCAGGTCATGGAACCTAATCAACAAGCAACCAACAAGCAGCAGAGTCAGAGGGACATGGGGACCAACCAGGTCACAGAACCTAACCAACAAGGAACCTTTAACCTTACCAACCAGGTCACTGAACCTAACCAACAAGCGGCAGAGTCCTCCTTTAACCTTACCAACCAGGTCATGGAACCTAATCAACAAACAACAGAGTCATGGGGACCAACCAGGTAACGGAACATAACCAACAAGCAGGAGAGCCCCGGAGACCTCCTTTTGCCTTACAAACCAGGTCACGGAACCTACCAACAAGCAGGAGCCATGGAACCTAACTAACAACCAGGTCAGAGCCCTGGGGACCTCCTTTAGCCTTACCAACCAGGTCATGGAACCTAAGCAAAAAGCAACAGAACCCTGGGGGACCTCCTTTAACCTTACCAAGCAGGTCATGGAACCTAACCAACAAGCAGGAGAGCCCTGGGGGACCTCCTTTAGCCTTACCAACCAGGTCACGGAACCAAGCCAACAAGCAGCAGAGTCCTCGGGACCTCCTTTAATCTTACCAACCAGGTCACGGAACCTAGCCAACAAGCAACAGAGTCATGGGGACCAAGCAGGTAACAGAACATAACCAACAAGCAGGAGAGCCCCGGAGACCTCCTTTAGCCTTACAAACCAGGTCACGGAACCTAACCAACAAGCAGGAGAGCCCCGGAGACTTCCTTTAGCCTTACCAACCAGGTCACGGAACCTAACCAACAAGCAGGAGAGCCCTGGGGGACCTCCTTTAGCCTTACCAACCAGGTCACGGAACCTAGCCAACAAGCAACAGAGTCCTCGGGACCTCCTTTAACCTTACCAAGCAGGTCATGGAACCTAGCCAACAAGCAACAGAACCAAATGCTAATTTTCTAAAAGTGAAAAATATATGAAACAGATGTATTCATAGTAGCATGGTATGCTATTTTTTTTCCAAATGCCTCCTCTGAAACTGTCCATACCTTAAATGCACACTATCAAAGTCTGCGTAGTAATTCTATATTTTGCAAAGTAATAATTCGTACACATTTTATTTATTAGAATAACTTTTAGAAGGGACTATAAGCTGTATTGACTGTGTGCTGGCTCTAATCCAGCATGCAGTCACATATGGTTGCTGGGATATACACAGTGTATGTATCTGTCCATACAGATTATCATATTGCCTGATGTTTGACTGATTCAGAGGATAAAGGGCTGCAGGTGATTGATTCCTTACTGGAGAATAACAAAAGAAGTGGTGGAAGTAGTGTAATACACAAATCAAGACCACAATGTATCTCTGGTATTCACAATGTGACACCTTGTTAATACAATGGCTGGTGCAGAGGGCAATATATACAATATTGCAGGATAGTTACCACATTTGTCATACATATATGTTTATCTTTTGGGATACATATACAGTAAATGTTGCTAAATGTTTGTAATATGTAATTGAATGTATAACTTGTGTACATCAGCCACCAGAACTGTCAGTTTTATTCTGTAGAAGAAGTCCCTCACTGATACTTGTTCTTGAATGAAGCATATACGGATGCTGTAAACAAATCTAAACATCTGGCCATGCTTTCTTTCTTCAGCAAACACAAAAATTGAAAGGTATACAATGCTCCCTGCAAACCTAATCTTGCACCGTTATCATAACTGGTAATGATACATATGAGTGGCAAGGAAATTATAACTATGATATAAACATACTGTGTTTTGGTTTTAAATAAAATTTAGAACTATCATAATTTCATTATATGCCTGTGATTTTCCAACACAGCATGAATACACTGACTCTGCATATGTTACATTTGACCACTCACTAAATGGCATTGTGTAATCATAACTCAGTTTTCATCCAATTAGCTTTAAGTAGAATATATAATAATCTGGACTCTCGGGTATCATATACACTGCAAAACATATATTCTTTTTAGGTGAAATTATTTTTAGAAATATACTTGTGACTATTAAGCACATATCATAGATATCATGATAAAGCAATGACACTTCTTCATTTGTAACTGGCAATTAATGGTGTTCATGTTCTTGGACAAGTTCACTATTCACGTAAACAGGTGGTTTTTAAAAGCCAACATGTATTAATAAATTAACTGACTTGGAACATGTGGGTTAGTTCCTTGTGGCGATGCACGGGGTAAACGTGATGGCACATTCAGCCAATCACAACATCTGCGAAGTGCTTGTACGACAAATGGTGACAGAAGAAAAACATTTTCAAACTTACCCATTTTGGCAACACTAGCCAGTAAGATCCACAAACAGATAACGTAAGGAATCTCGACATGATCAAAATCCCAGTTGACCAAAGGATAGCGTTCCGTTTCGTTCGATGTATCCTTTTCTCCCTCATCAGCTGATACAGCCGTCAAAACTCCGGGCACTATGGACAAAGCAGAAACACCGAGAGCCACCGTACAGAGTAATTTGGCTTTCGACATAACTCGTTCTCACATACCCGAGTCTCAGTCAATCTGTGGGCAGGCTGTTCTACATGTGATCTTTGACTGCCCCTAAGTTGCGATAACACAGACGATGGTGTCCCCGCGTAAGGTGATGGAACATTTTGTTATCACATGTACGCAAAGCTGTGGCAGATGACCTCAGGGCAGGTCATTGCGCATGCGCGTTAACGTAAATCTATTACCAGAAGCAGACGACACACTTTGACAGTAGGCATCGCCAAAGATTAATGGTGACGCAGGCAATGTGATCCAAAATTTTTGTTTGGAGAACAAGAATTATCCATACAATGGATGTTCCTTTGTCTTTGTCTTGGAACATCAACTATATTTGTGACAGAAACAAAACATAATGTCAGCAAGCAGGCATGATATGAGTGAGTGAGTTACTATCAGCGCCGCTTTGGAAAGATACCTGTATTCAGGTACAGTGAGGTGAGGTGAGGTGAAATTGGGTTTGACGTCGTGCTTGAGAATATTTCGCTCATATATATATGACGACGTGCGTGCGTGTGTATGTGTATGTGCGGCTGCTTGTACTAGCCCAGACTGAAGCTGGTTTTATAGTGCTAGCCCACTGAGATACCATGCCGCAGTGAAGCATGAATACCCCACTCAGACACATTATACTGACTCCGAGCCGACCAGTCCTTGTTGTACCCATTAATGCCGAGCGCCAGGCAGGGACCAACAAGTACCATATTTTAACGTCTTTTGGTATGACGCGGCCGGGGATCGAACCCGCGACCTTCCGCTCTCCGGGCGGACGCTCTAACCACTACACCACGGAGGCGGTTCAGGTACAGTAGCACCTTCATACAAAGTAAATGACACAGTAAACGGAGTTGCCTATTTTGAGATCATATTTTCAGTGAGCAGCTACACGTTTCCGGCGTTACTTCAGATTTAGAAACACTGGCAAATCTATCACGTTACTTGCGTGTGAAACAAAGCTGTTATAAACTTAACCGATCCAATGTTCCAACGGCGCTCAATACTAACTCAATCATCAGTGCTCCTGTTTTTTTTTGTTTTTTTTGTATGTACGTCTTTGTGTTTGAGAGCGTGTCTGTGCCTGTGTCTGCGTGCTGGTCTTTCTGTATGCGCGTGCTTGTACATGTGTTGACGAATTTTGAGCTGTGAAGATCCGGTCGTAAGAGGCGACAAACGGGATCGGGTTGTAAGGCTCGATGACTTGGCTGACACATGTCACAATATCCCAGTTGCATAGATCGATGCTCATGATGTTAATCACTGGATTGTCTGGTCCAGACTCGATTATTTACAGTTTGTACACCGGTGGAATATTGCTGAGTGCGGTGGTAAACAACCAACCAACCAATCTTAACTCGACTTACAACCATAGCAGACATTGTCTTGGAACATGTTTTAATACATATTATTCAGATTCATGATATTATATAAATGGTTTTACGTTTAGTGTCACGTAGACCATATTTGGTCGGGTGTCATATTTGATTGTTCTCTGTCCGAGTTTTACCATTAAGTGTATATAGTATGTGACACTGTAATAAACGTTATCTATCTCTCTCACATACTGAGTTTCTCCTGCCAAACAAGTAGTCACATAAACAACCTAAAACTCTTAGCAGTTTCAACATCGGACCACTGTTTGACAGAATGTCTTTTGTAAACAACACTTTCAACTCGTTCCTCTAGTGTAAGTACTGGCTAACTGTCATGGTATCACAACACGGTATGCAACCAGTTTTAACAATAACTACAGTCGGTTTGGCTCAAAAGCGGACAGCCAAGTGTACGCGGAGCACGAGCACATGTAACGATAGACTAATGCTTAGTCTCTGAATATATATAATTTTGATAGTAACAAACAAACCCATTTAAATTGAAAAGGAGCCCTAGGGAGACCAGAGACCTGAACCTGAGGAAATCTAGACTTGCTTTATTGAGGGCTTTGGCACTGCAGAGAGGCTTGGCAGTAGGGAAAACAATGTGGTTCAGGGACTGTGAGATAGACTAATGTACCGACAATGTTATTGAATCATTCACCTGTGCTGTCTCCATCCTTTCTCGCACACCTGGCTGTTCCTCTCTTTGCACCCCTCCCTCGTAACAAATAGTGAACTGTGTCAAAGTTTTAATGATAGTTTGTTAAACAACTTTTTTTATGGCTAAAACATAAATTCTGCAAAACAATCACAGAGTTGGTCTGATGTTTTGATAATGATCAGCGTTTCATTGAGTATTATATGCTTAGTAGTTTTCGAGTCCGATTTTGAGCCAAACGGACCATAAGGACAAACACAAACACGTGACCCATCGCGCCACTGTCGCCACTGCCTTGTAACGGGAGCCAACATGCAGGCTACCCCAACACATAATTTGGAAAACAGTGGCGGTGAGTTAGCCTGGTTGTTAAAGCGTTCTGAGGCGGTGGGGTAGCCTTGTGGTTAAAGCGTTCGCTCGTCACACCGAAGACCTGGGTTCGATTCCCCACATAGGTAGAATGTGTGAAGCCCATTTCTGGTGTCCTCCGTCGTGATGTTGCTGGAATGTTCGTAAAAGCGGCGTAAAACCATACTCACTCACTGTTAAAGCGTTCGCTCGTCCAACCGAAGACACAGGTCCCCAATGTGTGCAATGAGTGAGGCCCCTTCCATGTGCCCTAGCCGTATTATTGTTGGAATATTGCTATATTTACTCACTCACACATTCTGTAAAACGGAAGTTGTGATCTTAAGCCCACAGACGACGTGGTATAAGTAATCCTAGCTTTTCTCCCCCAAATCTCATCAATTTAGTTCAAATCCGATGTTTTTTTCTACAAGCATGTTCATTTATCCAGGAAGAAAAACCAATTTGTTTATGACCTTGACAAACACATTTTCCGTGGTAAATAACGTCAAGCAAAGCGCCTCTGCAATCAAATTAGCCAATGAAAACCGAAGATGCAAATTGAGTTACGTTATCGCATGGTTTGGCGCGTCTTGACGAACAGCTTCAGATGAGAGAGGGTCACTGACGGACTTGCAGTGACGGCAACAGACAGCTGGGTGTGTGTCGGTGAATCGGGAAGCTGGCTGGAGTCAAAACAACTGACGGGGTAAAATTTGGCGTGACATCAATGAGGACGATAGTCTCAGGGTGTTTTGTTTGCTTGCTTGTTGCTCAAGCTGCCCTAAGCAATTTCCCAGCAATATGACGACTGTCTGTAACCAGACAATCCAGTGATTGACATCATGAGCATCGATCTACGTAATTGGGATGCGATGGAATTAACTGGTTCGACGAGACGGACCATCCGATCTGAAGTAATATAGGTTCTACAGGTGCACCTTTCTGATTTCTCAATTACACATACGGCAGTTTCTACTCCTTCCTTAAATACGTTGGTGACTCAATCACGTTAAGAATCTGACTCTGGTTCTCGCTACTGCTAAATAAGCAGCCAAGGACATCCTATTAGTGCCATCCCAATAAAAAAACAAAACAACACAACAAAATTATTGATTTTCAAAGATAAAATGTTTAAAATACCCATCAACAGTTGTGTATTATGTGAAATCAGTTTTAAAGAGATCCAAATCAAATAACATTTCAAAACATAACCATAGAGAATTATTCTTTGAGTGATGACTTAGTGCTAGTCTATTGTTAATAATATCGGCAACGTTAGATATTGTTTAAAATCAAATATATGATAATGTGAACTGAGAGGCATAGGTTCTTTTGAGTAGTACACTGTATATGGAAATAAATAATATCATGATAACGTCAGATTGCTTCTTACGAGTAGTAAAGGATCTGGTTCGAATCCTTCACCGAAACAACTGTCATGATCTATGACATCCAGCATCCTTGGTGGGAGATTCTCCTTCACGACACTATACTGTTTATGGTGTGGCGTGGTGTGGTGGTGTGTGGTGTGTGTGTGTGGTGTGGTGTGTGTTGTGGTGTGGTGTGGTCTCGTGCCTGATACCCTTACCTCTTGGATTCTCCAGCAACCAGGGCTTACAACACTGTAATTCACCTTAAATACGGCGTAAATGCTCTCACCGTAAGGTTAACAATATATGTTGATGCACGTCTTCGTATCCCTACTGCGTAGATCGATGCTCATGATGTCTGTCACTGGACTGTCTGCTTTAGATGGAATATTTAGAGACTCCACGGATTATTAGTGGATGGAATATTTAGAGACTCCACTGATTATTAGTGGATAGAATATTTAGAGACTCCAGGGATTATTAGTGGATGGAATATTTAGAGACTCCAGGGATTATTAGTGGATGGAATATTTAGAGACTCCACGGATTATTAGTGGATGGAATATTTAGAGACTCCACTGATTATTAGTGGATGGAATATTTAGAGACTCCACGGATTATTAGTGGATGGAATATTTAGAGACTCCACGGATTATTAGTGGATGGAATATTTAGAGACTCCACTGATTATTAGTAGATGGAATATTTAGAGACTCCACGGATTATTAGTAGATGGAATATTTAGAGACTCCACTGATTATTAGTAGATGGAATATTTAGAGACTCCACAGGTGGATGGAATATTTAGAGACTCCACGGATTATTAGTTATTTTAGAGACTCCACGGATTATTAGTAGATGGAATATTTAGAGACTCCACTGATTATTAGTGGATGGAATATTTAGAGACTCCACTGATTATTAGTAGATGGAATATTTAGAGACTCCACTGATTATTAGTGGATGGAATATTTAGAGACTCCACTGATTATTAGTGGATGGAATATCCACTGATTATTAGTAGATGGAATATTTAGAGACTCCACGGATTATTAGTAGATGGAATATTTAGAGACTCCACTGATTATTAGTGGATGGAATATTTAGAGACTCCACGGATTATTAGTGGATGGAATATTTAGAGACTCCACTGATTATTAGTGGATGGAATATTGGAATATTTAGAGACTCCACTGATTATTAGTGGATGGAATATTTAGAGACTCCACGGATTATTAGTGGATGGAATATTTAGAGACTCCACTGATTATTAGTGGATGGAATATTTAGAGACTCCACTGATTATTAGTGGATGGAATATTTAGAGACTCCACTGATTATTAGTGGATGGAATATTTAGAGACTCCACTGGGATTATTAGTGGATGGAATATTTAGAGACTCCACTGATTATTAGTAGATGGAATATTTAGAGACTCCACTGATTATTAGTGGATGGAATATTTAGAGACTCACTGATTATTAGTGGATGGAATATTTAGAACTCCACTGATGGATGGAATATTTAGAGACTCCACTGATTATTAGTGGATGGAATATTTAGAGACTCCACGGATTATTAGTGGATGGAATATTTAGAGACTCCACTGATTATTAGTCCACTGATGGAATATTTAGAGACTCCACGGATTATTAGTGGATGGAATATTTAGAGACTCCACTGGATTATTAGTGGATGGAATATTTAGAGACTCCACTGATTATTAGTGGATGGAATAGTAGAGACTGGAATATTTTTAGAGACTTAGTGGATGGAATATTTAGGATTATTAGTGGATGGAATATTTAGAGACTCCAGGGATTATTAGTGGACTCCACTGATTATTAGTTATGAGACTTAGAGACTCCACGATTATTAGTGGATGGAATATTTAGAGACTCCACGGATTATTAGTAGATGGAATATTTAGAGACTCCAGGGATTATTAGTGGATGGAATATTTAGAGACTCCACGGATTATTAGTAGATGGAATATTTAGAGACTCCACTGATTATTAGTGGATGGAATATTTAGAGATTCCACGGATTATTAGTAGATGGAATATTTAGAGATTCCAGGGATTATTAGTGGACTGATTATTAGTGGATGGAATATTTAGACTCCACGGATTATTAGTGGATGGAATATTTAGAGACTCCAGGGATTATTAGTGGATGGAATATTTAGAGACTCCACGATTATTATTAGTGGATGGAATATTTACAGATTCCAATTATTAGGATTATTAGTCCACGGATGGAATATTTACACATTCCAGGGATTATTAGTGGATGGAATATTAGTGAGGGCGGCGTCAAACAACAAACAAGGAATTACCAAAAACGAGAAGTCTTCAACTGTTTCGTGTCAGATTTACATGTATTTGATTGTCTTGTAACGCCGAAAGTCGAGTCTGGAGCAGACAAACCAGCGAGTTAAGATTGTGTGTAAAGTCGTGCTACCTGGAACCCCCTTGCCAGATACAGAAAGTATACAGCAGATTTTTAGAAGAATGGACACGTAAGGTATCAGGTTCAGTAAAGTGTATTAGAAATCTACACCCAAACACAAATTGGGTACAATGTGCAGCCAATTTAACCACACGTGATATTGTGTGAAAGTTGCTTAAAGCACCACACACGACAAGCGTTCACCGGACGTGAACAGGACTCGCATATTTTACCACCGCTTCCAGGACTTTCTCACTAACAGTCTCTCAACTTTTGTAGACGCGACAGCGACGTTGAACCAATGTTACTAAAGAAGACACTGCATGAAGACATCTCCAGCTCTTCGTGCTAAACACGTTTAGGTATGGAGACACAGTCCAATGTGTCTATCAGTCTCACTCTTCAGGCTGTAAACTACACACGGGAAGTGTACAAACGGTGTCCAGCAGTTCTATCAATATCCACCCTCTGCACTGTCCGCACCAGAAATGTGGAGAATCCTACATGTATCCGTGAATGTCTAGCTCAGTGCTGTACCCACCTCACCAGCCAAAATCGTTTCTATAAGCCACGCGTGACCGTGTATGACGTCTCTCCATCAAAATTAAAGATGTTACAATTTTTGTTTACAATACCTTGTCATCTTCATCTCAAAAAACAATTTGTTTAATCTTTTATCTTCGCAAAGACAGACACGAGGGCCTGTGTGTATGACGTGTCTGTGACGCTCCCTCTTTTGGCTGTTTCCACGTTACTCACGAACAATTTGTACACCGTATCTACCCACCACATTAAGTATGTAGATTTAGTCTGTTTCTCGTCTGTCAGACCTTAGGTGTACAGTCAGGCATGTCTATCAATCGCAATGTACACTGTACCCCGCTATCCATACTACAATCAATCTCTATCTACAGGCTGAACTCACGTAGGGTGTACAGACAGACGTGACTCACGAACGCATCTATCAATGTCAGTCTCTACGATATACCAACGTGAGGTGTGCAGACCCTGTCCAGCCCGTCTGCCTCTATCTTTAGGCTGCACTACTGTAGACCAAGATACTGTTCACTAACATACTTTATCTCTATTGTACACACAGGAGTCTAGCAGAACAATGTAACAATCAATCTCCATCTGAACTGAACCCAGGTGACGCTAGAGTCCCCGAATATATATAATTCTGATAGTAACAAATAAACCCATTTAAACTGAAAAGGTGCCCCGTGAGTTGGGAGATTCTCTTGAAGCTGGGGGGAATTCTAGGCTTGCTTCATTTAGGTCTTTAGCATTGCACGGAGGGCTAGACAAATACCCATGAATATCATATTAGATTCTCACACACACACACACACACACTCTCCTTCATCCATGTCTGTCTGTTGTTCAGGGCAAAGTTGGCTCACAAACATCTCATTGTCTCACAAGCCATTTTCCCAAAACCCGACTGAATCAGATCACGCTTGCTGACTGCGCACCATCATACCTCAACAGTGTGGTGCTGCTCATCATATCACCCCCGGGGTTTGTCTAGCCATGATTCAAGTCGGTACAGGCCACTATGGCAGAGCCTGAATAACACCACTACATCCTTATGCAGCTGTCACAGGTGTTCATTTATTTGCCACCGTGAAGATCTGGGTTAGAATTGATCTTCAGCAACCCATGCTTGTTGTAAAAGGCGACTAACTCAGGCTTGCTGACTTGGTTGACACGTCTTCTTATCAAAACTCAATTATTTACAGACTCGCTATATAACTGGAATACTGCGGAGTGCTGCCTTTAACAACAAACCAACCAATCATTTGTTGGTTTGGTGTTTAATGTGGCACTCAGAAATAATCCAACTATACAATATGGTGACGGTCTGTAATAATCAAATGAGACCAGACAATCCAGTGATAAACATCATGAGCATCTATCTACGCAATTGGGATGCCACGCAACACAACAAACGAGTCAGGTGTGCGATGATAAGTTTTATTTCAAGTAAACAGAAGATTTCCCTATCCCATTGGAACTACAGTCCTACGCAGAACTCTGAGAGCCAGAATTTGCCGGGAAGGTTCATGTACAGAAGCAGTATCACAAATATTATACACAGCATGGTAGAAAGGGTATGTCGAGTACTAGCAATCAAACCAGAACTTGAACAAGATATCCTTGTCTAGCTATTGTGATTACAAAACAAAACATCACTGCATGGTCTATCTCTATTCACTGATCAAACCCAGCCTCGCAGCTTCACGTTAACCCTGCTGTGCAGTTGTATATATGTGAAACCCAGCTTTGAAGCTACACATGTGAAACCAGCCTTGCGGCTGCATGTGTAAAACCAGTCTTGCATCTGCATGTTTGAAACCAGTCTTGCATCTGCATGTGTGAAACCAGCCTTGCAGCTGCATGTGTGAAACCAGTCTTGCAGCTGCATGTGTGACCCTGTTTCACAGCAATGTAATGTGAATTCAGTTTGCTTGTTAGGGTAACAATGACTCACACCAATACTTGCCATTAGCAAAGTGATGTCTTATCTAACAAGATACAGTTAACTGGAGGAACAACATATACCTCATACTTACATATTATCAGGTGATTCTTATTTGTGAACTTTGGATTACTTGACCTGATTTTGGATATTTAATGGCCACTTTGCTAGTTCTCGTCATCGATCATTCAGAAAATAGAGCAAGCACATACATGAGAGTTGTTTCACTGCTATTAATCAGTATAGCGTCTGATGATATATATCATAATAAAATCACAGTATATACTTGTACTAAATGCAGCTGGGAAGGAATACCTGGAGCCAAGTGACGTAAAGACCATCGACCAGATTGTTTCACAGAGGCGTTACAGTTTGGGGGAAGCAGCTGTAGTCCTGTACCCTACACGTCCAACCATGATAATGAAGGTTCAGGAAACGGATTAAATAAAATCCAAACATTGGGATCTTTTTAATCACTTACATAGCAAGACAATTTAAGGAATATACATATATAAAAAACTCAAAGTAAACAGTTTTGCCCATGTAAATCCAAAATTGTCTGAGTTAATTATGTTAATCGAAGTATTGAATGAAGCACACTGCAGATCAAGAGATTTCCATAGTCCACCTGTGATAGTAACAGCTCTTGTTAACACCCAGTGATGGCTTCTATTAGATACAGCAAGGCAGTCTTAAAAATTCCATTATTAAAAATCTTAAATACGAAAACATTTTCTACTGAAAAGGCACAACTTGACTATTGTTTGAGTTATTTACAGAATTTCTACAGATCAGTAGTCAAAAAATATTCTTATTTCATTGCATACTTACAGATTGTTGAAATTCCAAATAATGTTGGTTGAATCACCTTCTTATACACCTGGCCATATCACTGCTGAATAATTAGTTATACACCTGACAACAGCATGACAAGGGATAATTAAACACTCCCTTAATTGGCAGATGGGCATACAAGGTTTGACTATAATTGTACCTGAATTAAATTCCATACAGAATACATAATTGATATAAGCCCACTAATGTAGAGAATAAATTACCATACCACTACAGATACTACACCAAGTATACTGTACATTATAAAAACTCCTACAGCGAGCACTCTCAATTCTTGGCAGTTCTACAGTAACATAGGCCACACTTTCATATTGATTGGGTTTACTAATTCAACTGACTAGAGCTAAAATGTTCAATCACAAAATAGAACAAAAATATTTCACATTATTTATCAGCCTTACCACTCTATCAGTGACAAATAGGAAGAGAGGATTCGATCACAAAATCACAGTAGTGAGTGGGTATGGTTTTATGACGCTTTTAGGAATATTGTGGCAGCATCATGGCAGGGGACCCAAGAAATTGAGCCACTATGAGCCAGATATTGTAATTGTTTGGGGAATTGAACCAGGGTCTTAGGCGTGATGAGCGAATGCTTTAACCACTGGGCTACACCCCTGCGCACCCAAATGAAAGTAGCTAACAACTTGTTGAATAATAAATGCAATACATTTAGTTGCCTCTGCAACTTCTTGTACAGAGAATGAAACTTCTAGAATAAAATACAATTGAATTACTGTAAAAATACTAAACATTCAAAGAATATCACCATTTATTTCCCTACAAAACTGACAACTTCATGTCAAATCAATGAAAAACTAATCAATAGCAGCACTAATTTATACCCCCTCCCAAAATCAGCTTAAGTCATTTAGTCAGTTTAAAATCTGTAACCCGCATAACATGAAAGTGTCCCACAGTGTTGATTACAGACTTGAGCGACAGGATAATTATTTATGAAAAAACCCTCAGAATCATGTCTATTGAGTGCCATCATCTTTCGGGTGTTCAGCACATATCAAAAGCAACATAATATTACTTTCACACACTGATTCCAAGGTTTTAATTTTACCAGAAAATCAGATGTGAGATATGAACTTGCTGGAAACTCTAAGGATGTAGTATTCTGTGACGCCATCTCGGTTGGTTACCATGGAAACAAGCACCGTAAATTTATCTGTGGTCAGAGTTATCGCGATCTTGCATACTAAATATAAAGCCAACAAAAAACAGGAACATAACAAAGTCGTAAACGCATCTCAGGACTTACAAAATACACATTGCACATGATGCCATCTATCTGGCTGACCCCGGGGTTAAGGTTATAGGTCAGGGTCTATAGGTCATTGTTATTAGGCCCTGGGGGCAATGAAACCCTCTCAACCCAGGACAAAACGTATCTGTTGAACTTCATGACAAGATTTTCCCAGGAGTACACAGCGAGGAGACAATGTTTGCCTGCATAAACAATCTCAGCTGATGGAAGCAAAATCTTAGCGATAACGTGCAGGAATCAGAGCAAATATTCCAATTAATTTAAGGTTATGACAAAAATACATATGTACAATAATTCCAAACATATGTTCATGCTTCACTCAACATTGCACGTATAATCCACACAATCTCACTGTTTCAAGCCAACACTTGATGATTAGACCAGACCAGACAACTACAGTAGTTATAATAATCATATATTTATTTAAAATCCACCAATCAAGATGTAGTGTCCTGAGCATATTCAGCTGGGAATATGGCACATATTCACCATAATAAGGGCCTTGGGCTCTTGGAAAATTGACAAAGTAGGCAGCTTATTAAACGATATACAAGGAGTTGATTTTGTTTCCTGAAATTAAGCAGTGTAAGCCTACATGAATGAAACTCAAATATCTGAAACATACACAAGCAAATACAGATTTGCATGTACATGGTTGGCATCATAAAGATTAATTAAATTTTGTCACAAAAATTGTCTTCTTGTAGCACGGTGCTTAATATGGCGAATATGGCAGCATAAAACCATTAAATTACTTTTCTGACATTTCATGAAGCAAAACTTTACAGGAATTATGTAAGTAACATGATGTTTGATCTTATTCCATCAACTTTTGATATTGGAAACAGCTGGTGGAAAAATGGCAAGAAATAAGAGACTGAAAATGAACCTCCAACCATAGCACTTTCATATTGAATATAAAATCCATAACTTATGTCAGAACTGCTCTGACATGCTTTAACTGGTATAATTAATATTACCACTAAGTCTCAAAGGTTAACCAATAAAAGGCAGTATTTGTAAACAAGCGAGGCAAAATATAGATAGTTGTCACATCTGTATGTACATGTATTATATTTGTTCAAATTCCAAACAAGGAACACCTATGAAGAGACTGTACAGAACTCAAACAAAACAACACTTTCAAGGTGGTTCGGGAAACAAGGAGAGACCCATTTACAGTCAATACACATGCATCTCTGTAATTGACCCTTAAATGTTGATTTGCTTGTTCAGAATCTTTAACAAATCTGCCACACAAGTAAAAGTTGACCTTGCCATCGAAAAATCTAAACTCAACTGAAATTATTCCCCACACCTAATTCATGATAAATGAACAAAATATCAGGAATACAATAACATCTAAAGAGCAAGGTCAACTTAACAAACGAAACCCTTCACAGAAAACTGAAGGTCCCTTGTTCCTCCCTTGACCTTCAACTAAGGGAGACCAGCAGGAGACGACACTCCTCAAGCACAAATATTTCCACTGGTTTCAGTCTCTCAGTATCAATGCCTACAAAGAAGGGAGGTAACTCGTATTATGCTCTCCCCTTGAACCTGACTAGATCACATTATTTGGATATTGTTTGGCAGGCCGACAGTCACAATCATCTTTTGTATAATGCATGGTTTGCTCTTCTGATCGTATTCTTAACAGGACGTTTCACACATTGATTATTTCTTCAGATGTCGTACTGTAAATATATGTGACAGAACTACCTGGGAGCATGTGCAGCAGTGTACAACGCAGATCAACGTTTACCATCTCAACACACATTTACACTGACAAGGAAACGATTAGGTGGGTCTGGAGGTGAAGATAGGGTGTGAAGAGAAGGGTGGGGTTGGTCGTGAAGGAAGCGCTGGGCATCTAGTTAAGAAGAAGGTGTCTCTGGTTGTCATGAACAGGAGTAGAATCGAACAAGTCTGCTGTTCAGTTTGCCCATTTTGTTTACATAAAATAGCTAGATTTGGGAAGAAAAACAAGTATTCCCATGTGTAAATTCACAAAACCCGGCCAAATGTTCAAGTGGTTGTGTCTAACCTGTAAATATATCAGTGAACGTTTAATTATATTTTCACATTCCTATCACCTGGAGGCTGATGCTTTCTTATATTATAATAAGCAGAAGTCCAAAGGAAACTGTTGTTAATAGAGAGAAAGCTTGCAGACTGGAGCTATGAATATATTCAGGTAATATACAACATAGAAGAATGTTTCATTGTCTTCCAATTACGTTTATAAAATGGTGAATGAACGGGTTGAGATGATCTCGGGCATCTGTCAAGATGGGTCATTAAGAAGTTATATATTCAATACAAAAAATGTAACTGAAGAATTAAGTAGAATTATTCTGGAAATAGATGAAAGGGAGGTGATTCAACTGTAAGATTGACTCATGGAATTCAACCCACTGCATCACCAATTCAATGTCAAATTAATCAGTTTAGGGTAAAACAGGTTTTCATACAGAAATACTTGCAGTGAAAGCATAGATGTATAACCTGGGTTCAACTGCCTTCGTTATCACAGCTTTTGCAAACCTAGGCTGGTGGCAGTAATATTGACCTCTGCCATCATGATATCTTGGATGATAACTAGGAATTCCGAGGCAAAGTGGAAGCGTGAGAGTGTGTGGAGCACAGAAGGCAGGGCGACAAGCTGAGAACAGTGGGGAGGACAGAGTGAGGGCAAGGCCTTACCACATGCAGTAGCAGGATATGTTAGTAGTTATTCATGAAAGCCAATAATTTTCTGCAATAGGTTACACAACTGACACATGGATTGATACTTCTTAAGTTATCCTGGCCCAAGTGAAAATATGACAGAAAATGTCATTAGTAATTAGAATTGGAAAAACTCTGACACAGGATCAACAGCAGCTTTGTCAGTCTGCCTGGAGCATATATATATCTTCAGGACATGACAGGGTAGGTCGGTCTGGTGTTATGGGACATTGAAATATGCAAATTATATGAGCTGTACCCATTGAGAGGAAGGTTACCATAGTTTCTCGTAAGGCATGGTTAAATGAATTGTCATGGATGCATCCTTTCTAATTTGTAAACTGGAGAATAAATAAGTCTATACAAAACAACACTGGCATTATACACATAATGACAAACATGTGAACCACAGTCTTCGTAACTTTACACGGTGTAACAACTTAACAATAAACCGAGCTACCGAGAAGATGCATAACCTTGACTTATTGTAGAAATTTCTGGAATAGCTTCCTTCCCCATCAGAATAGTTTCATACTGAGTATTAGCACTAGGGGTGTTAAGATGGTCTCCAGGTCAGGGTGTGAGAGGGTAATACATGATTTGTAGCACAATAACTTAAATAAGACGTAACAAAGGATTATCTATCTATACATACACGGCAGCATCCATCTTCTATGTACAGTCAATCATTGCAATGTTATTCAGTAAACAGGACTTACTTCAAGTATCATGGTATCTTTGTAATCTTCAATCATTAATGTCAAGGAAATATTTTTTTTGTACACAAATAATAATACATTCATTTAACAAAAGACTGAGACAAACTTAGGTTCCATGGTATATTTGCTTTGCCCATAAATAACAAAGATCTGTGTGGTCCGTGGCGACGCTGTTTGTCGGGCGTCCGCAGCAGTTATGAGAGAAGCCGATATTGCAGCAACTGGGCAGAGAATGAGAGACACAGATTGACAACACAAACCATCTACTTTGCCCGGTCATGGTGGAACCAAATATAGTCAGTCTGTCAACGATCAGGATCCCGAGGCACTTGTGTCATTTGAATTGGTCTCCGCTGGCTTTTTTCCCCTCGTCATCCGCTCCAACTCTGCCGCAGCGTCACGCGAAACTTTATCTGTGAAGATTGACAGTTCACATGAAGGTATAGTAAGCTGCAACTTTAAAAACCTTGGAAATTTATAATCATCCTTGGGTTGGCATTTTTCATATGATGAAACAACATGTCAGCTTGATGATAGAGGCCCAGGTGAAGTTAAGCTTGTTTTAACCTCTTTTATGAGCATTGCTGATAAACCAAATGTGACGAATGCGAAATACGACAAATAAACAGAGATGACAAACAGGCAGCTTAACCCTGGTCCCAACATCAACCAGATGTACTGAAGCTCACATTTATTATACACATTAAAAAACACACAACCAGAGGATCACTAAAAGTAAATGATTACATATAGATGATATAAATGATTACATATAGATGATATAAATGATTACATATAGATGATATGAATGATAAGACAAAATCAGATTTGAAGAATGACTGCCACAGGTGGGTTTTGGTGTCATAGCCCTGATTTCATAACACACCAAAAACACACCGACCATGCAATTTCTCTGTTAAGGTGGGAGAGGGGATGGGATGTGTGATTCTTTATTAAGACACTTTAGTAAAAGGTTGGCAAATAGCTCTTAGAAACAGATGCAATTTCTCTGTTAAGGTGGGATCTCGAGGGAATGGGATGTGTGATTCTTGATTAAGACACTTTATGCGTTTCTCAATAAAAGGTTGGCAAAGTCCGGACTACTGAATCAAGCTCTTCCTAAGAAACAGATGGGTTCTGATTCATTCAATGAACTTTCTGGATGACACAGGTGGGTAAGTGTTTGGATAGATCCTGCGGTTGAGGTGGGGGCTGTAATCATCACTTTTAGGGCACAATCACTGTGACACTCACAAAACAGCTCACTGTCATCCACGGTCAATCAAAGTGTAAATGTACAGTATCTTCAGTCGGAGCTTTTATGTCTAACTATAGTTATTTAAGAGGATATTACATGAGAAGCAATTTACTGCCCATGTCATACTATATAGTTTGGTAACAAGATATGAGTGCCTAACTGTTGAGGATATATCCCATGTCATACTATGTTTACGATATGAGTGCTTAACTGTTGGTATATCTCGAGCGAGAGCGAGGGATATACCGATATTTAGGCATGAGTGTGATATTATATGATATAGGCACTCATATAATATTCTAGGCATGAGTGTGATATTATATGATATAGGCACTCATATAATATTCTTTTTATTACCGAAGTCGTAAAACTGAGGAAAATAAACCCAATTCTACTTTCAAACATAGGCTGGCTACCCGCCGTCGCCGCATAGAAGAAATGTGAGGTCATAGCACTGTTAATGTCGTCACATCACGTCACCATGACAAAGTGATATTTTCCCCTAGGGCATCGTATGAAAAATATGAACCCTGATATCTTCGCTATCGTAGGTAATATTAAAGAATATTTGACCAATCTCGAGGCCATGACCCACTGTTCATCAAGTCATCTGAAAAGTTCAGTCCTGACCCACACACCCATCTCATTTGTTGGTTATTGGCACCTTGACAGTACACCACCAACATACTCTGTTGATTGCCATAGACGCCTAGTCCTTCCTCTTCTTTATCACTCACTATCTCTGTATTTCAGTTATCATCTGTCATTTTTAAATATCCCCTACGTCTTTTGGACACATGAGTACAAATGACACATGAACTTGCTATTTTAACTGAACATTTTAGTTCAGTGCTAGAGATGGAGAGATGGATATAGAGATGGATGGATGGATGGAAAGATGGAAGTCAGATGATTGGATGATGCTGACTCAGGACACAAGTCCACTTTAATAAGATCAAGGTGAGTCAGAAATGTAATGCAAGTCATGCAATCAAGGGATGTCATTGTCCATAGTGATAATAAATAGTGATCAATAAACATCTAATGCAGACACTAAATCATGTAATTTTTTGATTAAAATTGATATTTTATACTTATTCTGACTCATGCTTAATTGCTTGGAGAGAGTGAAGAGCGTGTTGGGTCATGTGACGGATTTCCCGCCAAAATATCTAAGGGAGGTAACACAGGGTGAGTGATTTTACGTCCGCTTTTTTTAAGGGAGCTTCAAAAGGGGATTCAAGTGTTCCACTATCATTCACAAGAAGGAGACAAGCAATTAAGCATGAGTCAGGATAAGGAAAAAATAATACAAATTTTCGAATATAAATACTAAATTAATCAGTCAGTGCCACAGGAACATTATACAATGACAACGGTTAAGACAGACAAGAGACAAAGAACATTCCAAATAGAAGAGAAGACGTATAACGTTTCAGCATAGTTCATATTTAGCAATTAATTAACTGCAGTTCTAGAAATGTAATTTTCATGAATTCATATTCAGAAAAACTGGCATAATATTAATCTCTTGTGGTACTTGATGCACTAATGCCAATATGCTTACTAGGAATGAGAAGGTATAAACCCAAATATATCCTATGTTATATTGAAAATTCTATATTAAACTGTATATTTATATACTTATCCTATCTCACGCTATGCACCTCTCCTTTTCTTGCTTACCGTGAGATAGGATAAGTTTAAAAATATACTCTTATTGCATATCAATATTCAGAATGATACATGACATACAGGTATGATGGATTAAGGAGAAAAGTGATTTCTTCAATATGATGGTCATGTCATGAACCACATCTCAATCCAGGTCTACATTTTGGAACATATTCCTGCATGATGAGGAATGGCTGCACATACTGTACCAACGTGGTTGTCTTTAGAAAGGTTTTTGCCATTTATCAGACTTGTTCATCATGTAGCATTCTGAATACTGATTTCTGTTTCCAGACACAGGAAACTGATGGGTGTGGAGTGGAGTTGGTAAGAGAGACAGAACAATGTGTTACCTGAGATTGGAGGCGTACCTGTTCCCGTGCCAGCACCACCGGGCTGGCCGGTCTTCTTGTTGAGTAAACTGTTGAAAAAGTTGGCCAGCATGCCCTCGCTGGTAGCTCCGGCCGGTGCCTTGCCCTCCCCCTTCAACAATAGACAAGGACCAATAAAGCAACAGAGGCCATCTTGTGTCGGCTCCACACAGTTTAGACAGATGCTTACTGTGAAGCTCTGTATAATCTTGTTACCAACTGGCGTGAAGACAACAATGTCATTTATCAATAAGATTTGTTTCTCGTATGGACACAATTGATAGTTAATGTTCAATAAGAAATTCTCTATAACAATTGTTACAGACTGTTGTGAGAACAGTGTTATACATAAAAATGAAAGCAGTGCTGTTTTGGCAAGAATACTACAACCTCCACGTAAGTATGTCTGGACCAGGAAAACATCCATTGGCCAGTCAGTGCACAATAACACAGGACAGTCAAGTCAAACCCTGTATCTACCCAACCCTGACTAATCAGCTCTGACGACAGAGGACACCCTCTTAGTGATAGTAAGTGACTTAGTGTTTACGCCACACTCTGCAATATTGCAGCTATATGGTGGCCGTCTGTAAATAATCGAGTCTGGACCAGACAATCCAGTGATCAACAGCATGAGCATCAATCTACACAACTGGGATACAATGACAAGTGTCAACCAAGTCAGCATGTCTGACCACCCGATCCCAGTCGCCTCTTACGACAAGCATGGGTTACTGAAGATCGATTCCAACCCGGATCTTCACGGGTCGGACACTCTGTTAAGGCACTTATGTCATGATAAGGCACATAAATATATACCTCAATATACATCAACAAGATTTATTCAATATGCTTGTTTTAAAACTGGGCCAGTAGTGTTGGTAGCATTGATAATGTTTATGTGTAATAAGGGTTACTACCTTGTTTTGAGGCAAACATTATCGAAGGATGTCTGGGACTTTTGTTTGTAAAAATAGCTAGCAGTACTACCAATACAGCAATTGTACAACCTCTGCTTTATGATACAAAGATAACAGTAATCTCCCCTAGTGAACAGCAGTCAGTGCCATGATGAACAAACTGGCAGGAATCCCTGTAACACTTGTGTGGCCTTCACAGTTTGGTACCACATTCATGAGTGGTCTCCCTTTGCTAGGTATTCTTACTCACCAGGGCCTAGATTTTCGAAGCTCTCTTAGCGTTAAGATAGTCGTAACTTAATGTTAATGTATGGCATGTACGACTATCTTAGCGCTAAGAGAGCTTCGAAAATCTAGGCCCAGGAATGTATGTGCACCACATGCTTAGCATCAGAATTGTATAATTCACCTATCCCAGAATACCAAGCAGGGATCGCCATTACATAGATATGCTAACCTATCGCAGATTACACCATACTCAGCTATGCAAGATAGAGTTGATGTATGATTTGACCAGGAAGCTAAGCAGTATGTACAGAAACAGTAAGAACAGAATGGATGGATGTGTAAACCCTATCTGATTAAAATCAGGCTATTTACTACCATATGATACCTCCCTATATGAAGATCTGAGGCTATCCCTTGAGAGGATGGCATCTGGTGAACTTTCTGATCAGCAAATCAGCTTTGAGGTTTCCAATTTTTCGGTACAAGAGGGCAAAATATTCAGACAAAGGTACTGAAAAACTGACAAAGCTTAGGAACTTTCAGCACAAAAGCATTGCTTTTATAATGAGTGCGGATATGTCATACATGCCAATATAACACAACAGGGTGTACTATCAGTGCTATTCATGGTATATATGCCTTCAGTACTGTCTTTCTGCTGTTAAGATCAAGATTTTTAAACCAAGATAAGTATTCAAAATCAAGAACAGGAGTGAACTCATTGGAGAAATGTGACCTCGGAATGACTAGTGAGTGAGTGAGTATGGTTTTACGCCGCTTTTTAGCAATATTCCAGCAATATCACGGCGGGGGACACCAGAAATGGGCTTCACACATTGTACCCATGTGGGGAATCGAACCCGGGTCTTCGGCCTGACGAGCGAACGCTTTAACCACTAGGCTACCCCACAGCCCCCTCTGAATGACTAAGATCCCTTCATCCTTCATTTTGATTGGGAGTTTGTTCACCCAACGAGACCTTCAAAAGATGATTTATCCGATTTTAACACTGAGAGGTATCATATCAGAGTAAACAATCTTATTTTAAATGAGGTAGGTGCAACCAATTGCATGGAGAAGATTGAGTCCCTTTGTGTAACATCGGTGTCAGCAATTCTCAAGTCATATCATAACCAACCAAGTAGACCAGTAGATCCATAGTACGAGCAACAACCCATGCAAATGGAGTGAGATGAAACATCATGACCATTCAATCCCCTTAGTTGGCCCTTACAAAAAGAACAGGCATCGTGGGGAAGACGAGGACGTAACAGTATGCACAATAAGGAGGCATTACAGAACATTATTACATTCAAAGAGTTTTCAATAAGTTTTAGAAAAGCAAGTTCATTTCAAGTTAGAGATACTGTATTGATATTTAGTATGTGTATATTATAAAGTACCAGTGGTAAAGAGTGTGTGTTTCTGACATAGATGATGTATGGCGATGGTGGAGTGACAGGAACGATCCAAGTTTGACAACAAAACAAGGTGAAGCCAATGAGAGAAAAGATACAACAGGTATACTTAATGAAGCAACCAAACTGAGCCATCAAGTCACCAACACAGCAGCAGTTGTAGTATATACTTACTTTGGGGCTCTGAGATTGCAACGAGACAGGTAAGGTGAATACGTACATAGATTAAACAATTCAATGTTGGACTTGATCAACATGTTTAGGGGACAATCTGGACACAAGACTTATACAATTTGATTGTGTTTGAAGCCACTAAATCTCCACGTTATCCTTTGTTTATGAGAGTTGTGAAAAGGGACAAAGTTCCCTTTGTTGGAGATATCAGAGTTCTTACACGAATACACAATGCCATTGAGAAAGTTATCAAATGTAACACATGTTATATTTGGGATTACAGTTTCTCAGTAAAGTACAGATTCTTCTGCGATGGCTGAGTGGGATAGATGGCTGACTTTGTGTGCTGGCGATTAGGTGCCTGACTCTGAGGGTGTGGGTTCGGAATCCCGGATGGGACTCAACCCAATAAAAGTACTAGAATCTGTACTTTATAGACAAAGTGTAATCCCAAATATAACAAGTGTCATAGCTATAGTCCAACAATTTTCAAAACAAACATTAATAGACTAAAACACAATATCTTGTTTGGATGTTACTAAAAGCATTTCCATGCAAGGTAGTATGTCAATTATCCACACACAACCATGACGCACCTTGCCACGGCCGGGCGTGCTTGGTGACGACCCCTGTCTCTCCGGGGTCCTTTGTACCTGGGGACGCTGCATCCTTTGGGGGGTGCCCTCTGCTGGCTGTAAACAAGAGACTGTGTTAAAGCGATACAAACTAACATTTTCAGTTCACTTTTCTTACAATCACATTATAGCTAACACAATGGCAGATTTCTTCGGACATTATGATAACTTATCTTTGGGGTCAGTTTTGTTAGGACCAATGGATGAGCCTGTCCATATAACCTTTAAGTAGACAGAAATGTGGTACATGAGACTAATTTTGCTCAGAAACTCATCAGGGAGAAACACATGCAGTACCGGCATCTCTCCCAGTCAGTAGACAAGCCTGAGGTACAAACAAGGGAGGTTCTGCCCTCAAATCTCATCTCGGGGGCAATCATGTAGTGCTGTTGACAAAGGATCACCTACTTCAGTGTGAATTACCCCTGATCCTTGATAATGCCAACTCACCCCCTGCGTCCCGGGCTGGGGCTGTTTGCTCAGTTGTGTCTGTTGTTTCATCAGGAACACCTGCTCGTCTTCCGCCGTGACCTCTGCATCTCTCTGCACCGGCTACAACACAGAGTACACACACAACGCAATGGTAGGGTTCACCAAAGATCCACTGATGCAGCAGGGTATAGCAGACTCCAATATATGCTTCAGTACTTAACAGGATGATGTTGCCTAGCACTATTATGTGCATACCACATTTTTTAGTACAAGCTTAGGGTAAAAAATTGCTATCTCATATATAACGTCTAGAAAAACCATACATGTTGTTTTAAGTGATCTATTCACCTGATTGCACCAAGTGTATCTGAGCTTACCAGAATGTATCAGAATATGCTGGAGGATATCTGGAATATACCGGAGTGAACCAGATCATACCAGAGCATGCTAAAATACACCAGATCAACCGGGAGTGTTATCATTACACTTACCTTTCTTGTTATTGGTTTGGCTATGACATCATCAAATGCATCTTCTGGTTTCATGCTACTCATATTTTCATATAATATGCTAATTTTCTTCTCATTATCCCAACCTGATGGTCTGAAATGGGGAAAAAAAATATGTTAATAAAATTATTCATCATAACCACACACCCTCTAAATATTAGCATTGAGGACCATACATAGAGAAAGTACAAGAATGTCTTCTGAATCACAGCTCCATTGGTTCACCGAGCTGCTTAAGGCACAATTTCACACATTTTTCGACAATATTTTGGCCTATATTATGCATATTGGGGCATTCACTTTAGCTTCCTATTGATGCAATGAAAAAATTATTATCACTACGACTTGCCTGAAATCGATAATTGAAAAGTCAAGGCAAAAAGCTACCAAACAGAGAACACTTGCCATATATTAAATGTAAACAATTGCTCCGTACATCGAAAACTGCTGCATGCGCTGTTGTCCGCGTTTGGCGAACTGGTATCAATCACAAGTTGTGCATAGGATATTTGTAAAGAGCACTCCAAGGGACATTACTCTATGGGGTTTACTTGAAATGACTTTTACCTGGTAGAGGGGGCAAGGGTCTATTTAATGCAAAATTGCATTAATTCATTCAATAATTCATTAATTTAATATTGTAATCTAAATACATATTTTTTTTGAATATATTATATGGTAGCTTCCCATATGGATTATTTATTTTGAGAGAAGTGTGGTGTGAAATAGTGAGGTGAGGTGAGGTGAAATTGGGTTTAACGTCGTGCTTGAGAATATTTCGCTCATATGCCGACGTGCATGTGTGTGTATGTGCGGTAGCTTGTACTAGCCCAGACTGAAGCTGGTTTTATAGTGCTAGCCCACTGAGATACCATGCTGCAGTGAAGCATGAATACCCAAATCAGACAAATTATACTGAGTCCGAGCCAACCAGTCCTTGTTGTAGCCATTAATGCCGAGCGCCAGGCAGGGACCAACAAGTACCATATTTTAACGTCATTTGGTATGACACGGTTGGGGATCAAACCCGCAACCTTCTGTTCTCCGGGCGGACGCTCTAACCACTACACCACAGAGGCGGTCTGTGAAGTAGAGTTTTCAAGGTGGCTGTCAACAGTATTTCACTGAGGGAGTCAAGCTTTAAGTTGCCTTTAACAGTGTTTTTTTCGAGAGAGACAGGCTCCATGAGGCTGCAACAGCATTTCAATTACACAAGTTGCCTCTCTCAACCTTCATAGCTGCTGGATGCACATCCTAAGTAGGCAAACAAGGTTGTGGAAAGCGGAAAACAAACACGTCACCACTGATACGACTCGTACTTAACGACAATAGTACTTACACAAAGACACTGTCCTTCTCCACTACATAGGCTTGAGATGTGAAGGGGAATCCATATACTCTGTGTACTAAATATTTGTACAATAATTCACAGTTCCGGTCTTCCTTCACAGATGAGTATAACAACGATGCACCATCTGGCAAATGTTAAGGATTCTAGGCAAAAGCTGAGAAACATTTGGTGAACAGATTACACTGGTTTATATATGTAAAACACATCAATGACCGATATTTACTATGACGAGGAAGAACACTTAAATTTGATTGGTCAATCTGAAGTATCAAATCACAATAAAGTTTCATTTAAAGTTTATCATTAATATCAACAACTGTTCTGCAATATTTCAGGAAACTTTTATAAAGTGTTAAGAAATTTGTCACATGGACTATTACATGGTGCTGAAGCAACTGATTGAATAATAAGTCAATCGATTGATTGATCTTGCTTGCATCAGAGGTGCCTGTTTTGTTTGTACAATGTCATGAATGTATCCTGTTGTTGCCCACATTAGTTTTGTGGTGGGTGTTACGATTACAATCGATTATTGATCGATTGCTCAGCTCTGATCTGCAAATGGTGGGCGATAACCAGAACTACCATTGCAGGAAGTGTTGTTCCAATTAGAAAGGATACAACTTAGACAGAACTTCCTAATATGCTGTTGAATGAAATCGAAATGTTCTTCTCGAAAGTCATGCTCCTTTTCCAATGTTGAGATTGCATCACTCTGAAACATGAAATTATTTAGAAGTTAACAGAAATGGCTAAATAAATCTTTCACACAGCTTCTGTCACATAAACATAAAATAAATTACAGAGATTAGATATATACTATTCCAAGGTTCTGTGATGGATGATATGTTGAAATTCCTGTGATAGATTCAACCTCAGTTTAACCTACAACTACCAGATTTCCTGGGTTCTATGAGAGATTCAGTGTAGTTCTAAATGCTACCACTGGAATATCCAGCATATGCATATTGTTGTAACAAGGTTTTTGCCATAATTCTCGCAATTGGAATTCCTTGGTTGTGTGATAACTCATACCTTTGTTAGAACTACTACTATTGGAATTCCTAGGTTCTGTGAAAGCTCCTACCTTTGTTATAACTACTACTATTGGAATTCCTAGGTTCTGTGATAGCGTGCTTTCCCCGAGTGGGAGGAGGACCTTCTCCTCGTCTGTGGCCGAGGCAGAGGGGTGGAGGGGATTGCTGTCCCCCCGGTGCGGGGCTGAAGTGGAATGACCCTCCTCTGGGGCACTGTACTCCTGGAAGAACCGAACCACTGAAACAAAGTACACCTCATGAGACTCTTATTTTATATACATTCTTTTAGAAAATTGTACAGTAAGTTAGTTTAGTTTTACGCCGCTTTTAACAATATTCCAGCTATATCACAGCGGGGGACACCAGAAATGGGCTTCACATATTGTACCCATGTGGGGAATCGAACCCGGGTCTTCGGCATGACGAACGAACGCTTTAACCACTACGCTACCCCACTGCCCCCTGTACAGTAAGTATTTACATCACCTGAACTGACATTTTGTAATGACCCTGAACATAATTATCGTTCGTAAAGTGTTTCCTGAACCTGCCATTCAACAGGTCATATCTGACAATGTTCAAAGGAGACTTATTTTTTTACATCAGTACTTTCAGACACAAATATTGCTTCTTTGAGTGATTGCTTGTTTTTTGTTAATGCCGCACTGAGCAATACTCAAGCAGTATGAAAGCGACATGTACACGACTAAGTTTTGACCAAACAATACACACTACAGCAACAAACTGGCCTGGACAGGACTCAATGCAACTGAGTGACCGAGTTATGTTTAACTCTATTTTGAACAATATTTTAGCATGTCAGCTTAACATGGAAATTAAGCTTAAATAATGCAGGTGTCCGGCATTTACCACTGAGAAACGAGTAAGTGAGTTTTAGATTTATGACGCTTTTAGCAATATTCCAGCAATATCATGGCAAGGGACACCAGAAATGGGCTTCACACATTTTGCCCATGTGGGGAATCCACCAGGGTCTTCGGCGTGACAAGCGACCACTTTAGCTACTAAACTACCCCGCTACCTGAAACCAACGAACACGGGTACGGTGCTGACAAACCTAACTGGGATTCAAGACCAAAAGTTCCCGGTGTGCCCACGGCCACCATGCACAGCAAATTATTGAGGTTTCATGACTGGGCCACAGATGCTTTCTCTGAACATAAAAAACTACAGTTCCTGATTAGTTCCCTAGTGAAAATGCTGAAACTATAAAATAATAGACATTGTTTCAGTAGAATCCTTCCATGATATTTTGTGCACTGAAATGCAACATGCCCAACTTTCAACTAAATCAATAAGATTATATCCTAAAAGGTGTATACAGCAGTTAGCACCTGTCACATGGTGAAGCCAGGCATGCCTCGACTGACTTGTCAATACAAATCAATACTACTTTATTACCCGAGTATACTCACAAACTATTGTGATTCATTCTACAAAGTCAATACTTGCAATGGAAATACGTGACATTGCAACAAGCACTTGCTCTACATTCCACTGTGCTACACACTCAATGATCAGCTGCTGATTTGTCAACGTTTCAGTCATACCAGTGACAAAGCCAATATCACACCAAATCATCCGATGATAATGTCTCAATCAAGTCTAATGACGTGTGAGTTCATCAAGTGGCTGATGGAGCCGTCAGTGTAATATGGTTGTTGGCAGGGCGTAACAGCCTGGAGGTCTCTGTAAGGTTTCCAATGAGTCATAGGTAACAGTATACTGTGTAACTACAATGGCTGCAACTGTACACAATAAAACACATTAACTCTTGATGCAACATTGTCAGGTTGAAACAAATAAAGTAGCTCCACCAGCAACATTGTTACTGTGTTGTTGGTCTTAACTCTGAAGCAGTCCACCAGCAACATTGTTACTGTGTTGCTGGTCTTAACTCTGAAGCAGTCCACCAGCAACATTGTTACTGTTTTGTTGGTCTTAACTCAGAAGCAGTCCACCAGCAACACTGTTATTGTGTTGTTGGTCTGAACTCAGAAGCAGTCCATCAGCAACACTGTTACTGTGTTGCTGGTCTTAACTCTGAAGCAGTCCACCAGCAACACTGTTACTGTGTTGTTGGTCTGAACTCTGAAGCAGTCCACCAGCAACACTGTTACTGTGTTGTTGGTCTTAACTCTGAAGCAGTCCACCAGCAACACTGTTACTGTGTTGTTGGTCTGAACTCAGAAGAAGTCCACCAGCAACACTGTTACTGTTTTGTTGGTCAGTCCACCAGCAATTGTTAAACTCTGAACCAGCAACACTGTTAGTCTTAACTCTGAAGCACCACCAGCAACACTGTTACTGTGTTGTTGGTCTTAACATTGAAGCAGTCCACCAGCAACACTGTTACTGTGTTGTTGGTCTGAACTCAGAAGAAGTCCACCAGCAACACTGTTACTGTTTTGTTGGTCTTAACTCTGAAGCAGTCAACCAGCAACACTGTTACTGTGTTGTTGGTCTTAACTCTGAAGCAGTCCACCAGCAACACTGTTATTGTGTTGTTGGTCTGAACTCAGAAGAAGTCCACCAGCAACACTGTTACTGTGTTGTTGGTCTTAACTCTGAAGCAGTCCACCAGCAACACTGTTACTGTGTTGTTGGTCTTAACTCTGAAGCAGTCCACCAGCAACACTGTTACTGTGTTGTTGGTCTGAAATCTGAAGCAGTTCAACCAGCAACATTGTTACTGTGCTGTTGGTCTTAACTCTGAAGCAGTCCACCAGCAACGCTGTTACTGTGTTGTTGGTCTGAACTCTGAAGCAGTCAACCAGCAACACTGTTACTATGTTGTTGGTCTTAACTCTGAAGCAGTCCACCAGCAACACTGTTACTGTGCTGTTGGTCTGAAATCTGAAGCAGTCCACCAGCAACACTGTTACTGTGCTGTTGGTCTTAACTCTGAAGCAGTCCACCAGCAACACTGTTACTGTGCTGTTGGTCTTAACTCTGAAGCAGTCCACCAGCAACACTGTTACTGTGTTGTTGGTCTGAACTCAGAAGCAGTCCATCAGCAACACTGTTACTGTGTTGTTGGTCTTAACTCTGAAGCAGTCCACCAGCAACAATGTTATTGTGCTGTTGGTCTGAAATCTGAAGCAGTCCACCAGCAACATTGTTACTGTTTTGTTGGTCTGAAATCTGAAGCACATCACCCAGAAACACTGTTACTTAGCTGTCAGTGTGAACTGGGGTTCTATCGCCCAGTCTTCTGGCAGACAGAGCCTTGCTGTGAAACAAAGTACAGCTTAAAAGTATGTACACACTGCATCAGGGGAGAATATTAAATGAATATTATCTGGCTCAGTTTAGATATCGGGGATCACAAACTAAATCATGGCAACTGCAACTGATGACTCAGTGACTGTGAGTCAGGAGTGTCAAGAAATCTGAACTTTTTTCTGAACATGTAGTTATTTAGACATCTACTGTCAGTCAAGTATTTGTGTGTGGGCTGATGTGAACAGCGCTGCAGTTTAAATCTGTTTGAAGTGATCAGTAAATGGTTGATAATATAATTGTATGTGTGTCATTTGTAAAAAATAATTATGGGGGCCAAAGCAATGTTTCTATGCATTAAGACTTTCATAAGACATTTCAGTTGGTACATACACATAACCTACTGTATAGGTTGCATTCAACACATTAACGACAAGATGAATGAAATATTTCACAGTATGTGTTATGCTGTTCAAGCTTGTACAGGTATGATTAGAGCAGGAAATAGCATGTCATTGTCACTTAACATGTACATCAAGGGTGCATTCTGAGTCCAGTGTTTTCCAGGATATTTTCATGACACAGTTGAAACAAGGCTTACTAGCATCTGCTTTGTGTCTGAAGATATCTGAGAAATGTTCACTTTTGATTGGTAATGATATTTCTTTAGTTGATGATTTTGTTGCAGGTTAGCAAAGAAAAATCGATTTCCTGATACACTATGCAGTATTTCGGGATAAAAGGTTAATATTACATATATTCAGAGACTAAGCGTTACTCTAAAGTTATAGATGAGTGGCATAATTCCATTTCTAAATATTCACAGACCTGCACCCTGCCTCTACATCCACCTTGCAAAGACCTTTACACCCATCAGACACCTTGCAAAGACCTCCACACCCATCAGACACCTCCACACCCATCAGAGACACCTTCACACCCATCAGACACCTCCACACCCATCAGACACCTCCACACCAATCATAAACCTGCACCAGACTCATTCAACACATAAACTGACAGACCTTCTTCTTGTCTCAATACGAGTGTTCCCTAAGGCAATTTTAGCAGGGTGCAGGGGCCAGCCGTTAATATTTGGTACCCTGCCCCTTTTGTTTAGTGCCCTCCCTGTCCATCTTTTAATACAACAAGAGTCATCAGAAGATGACATATCCCCCCGGCCCCAATATCTTTGAAAGAACAAATCATCTGACAGTTACTTAAAGTCCAGCTTGATTTTAGACTAAGTGCAAATCGTTTCCATGGAAATCATGAAAAAAATAAATGACAAAAATCTGCAAATACCAAAAGGCACGACTTCAAGATCTGACTCACATATCTGCCACGTTTTGCTGAAAGATATTAAGAAGTTTTCGCGTTGTGCTCCGTAAACAAAACCTACCCTTCCCTTTTAAGACTAAGTCCGAATTGTTTCGATGGAAACCGGGAAAAATAAAAATGCCAAAAATCTGCAAATAGCAAAAGGCACAACTTTAGGCTCTGTTTGATATATCTACCATGTCTTGTTGAAAAATATTGAACGGTTTTTGAGCTATGCTCCGGAAACGAAGCCCACCAAAGTCCAAAATGTTTCCATGGAAACCGAGAAAAATAAAAATGACAATAATCTGTAAATAGCAAAAGGCACCACCTTAGGTTATGTTTGACATATCTACCAATTTTTGTTGAAAAATATCAAATGGTCTTTGAGTTATGCTCCGGAAACAAAATGATTACGGACGGACGGACAGACGGACGAGGCGACGACTATATCCCACTGCATTACATGCCGGTGGGATAATAATTGATATCAACACATGTTTTTAGTTTCTATTTCATGCTGAAGTTAAGTGAAATAACTGTGCGCTGAACCCTTTAGAATCATATGGATGAACAGGCCTACCAAAGAAAACTTTGCCAATGTGCAGAAAAACGCAGTACAGTCTAATCCCGATGAGTCGAATGCCGTTGTCTCGAATATTATGCATAACTCGAAGTACCTGTCGGTCCCGACCATTCCCTGTTATAGTTATCATCATTTGAATACCGGTAACACGAAGTCGTCTCATAAATACACACGATGACTCGAGAAGGAAATTTGGTCCCATGAGATTCAAACAACAGCAATCTTGTATACATAAGCCGAAGTCAGTCAATGAGAAGTTGATTGGTGTAGCAAACTGATCCAATTAACAAACCAGCGCGGCTCACACCTTTTCTGCCTTTGACGGGTGAGTTCAAAAGGCAGATTAGTGATTTCACGGAAATCACTGTCTGTGCTAATCAGACTGGAACTGATAAGGTGCCCCTATTAGTGATAGGGAAATCATTAGGTAAACAAATGCTTAGGTGGAGGAATTAGGATTCGATCATCTTTTTTTCTACCCTCATAGACATACCTATGTCTCGAATACATCAATGTTTTTACTGTTTCAGTAGCTAAGTATTATGTTTAGGTTGGTATTTCCACGATTAATGTGGGCTTTTCTGCGTTTTTCTGCACAGTGGCCAAGTTTTTTTTGGTAGGCCTGATGAATAACCTAACATAATACTTGGGTATCTGTCATTGCACGCCCCTTTTGAAATTCTGTTGCCCTGCCCTTTTTGATCCTGGGGGAAACACTAAATACCATGCACAGACCTTGACCCTGCACAGACCTTTCATATAATTAAGCACATCACAGACCTCCATCCTGCCTCAAAACCCAGCAAAGGGGATATACTCACAGCTTTGTTCATAGTCCCTCATCTTCTCTGAGGGTATCTTCAGTCTGTCAATGTGTTCTCTCAAAATGGAGACCCACTTCTCTAGGGCCTCCATGAGAGACCAGGGGGTGTGTCATACTGGCCACCAGCAACACCAGGGTGTCGGAGAAGTTCTGCTCCGTCAGCGCGTACTTCAGGAGTCCGGTGTGGCTCGGGTCTCCGTCCAGGCACCACACATTTAGCCGTGCTTGTTCTGAAATGTGTGCAACAGTAATTATATGAGTTTCACCATGTCCAGCCATGTTATGGCAGAGCTATATATACAGACACCATATAGTGATTTTGAGTGACAAGTGATTTCTATCCTTCATTATCTGTTTCATCAAGTGTCTGTAGACTGTGTACAGGAGTAGTCAACCTTAATGACATGAGGACACAATGCCTGGAAGAAAGTTCCCTGTCCTGGATTGGAACCCACAATTTCAGAACCCATCAAGATCTGGGTTAGAATTGATCTTCAACGACCTATGCTTGTCGTAAAAGGCGACTAACAGCATCGGGTGGTCAGGCTCGCTGACTTGGTTGGCACATGTCATCATGTCACTCATGATGTTGATCACTGGATTGTCTAGTCCAGACTCGATTATTTACAGACCGCAGCCATACAGCTGAGCGCAGTGTTAAACAACAAACCAGCCAAACCACTATCTCAGAAGGAGGTTCCAAATTGCCAGAACACAAAGAATACCAGTTCTCAGACTTCCATTTTGCATGTCTTGTGGAAACCGCAGTGGTACTGGTAGCGTGATGGCAATTTGGTGCTTCACTTTGAGAGTGTGGGTTTAAATCCTGGGTACTAGAACCTGTACGTTACTGAGAAAGTGGAATCCATAATGATAATGGTACATATTCCATTGGAGGAGTCACTGCCAATGTGTTTACAATTTGAACATGTTAAAACAGTGAACAAATATTTTATAAACATTCAAATAAAACACGTATATATATGGATGACAACTTCTTTACTTCTTTTATTCTAGAGCACGACATTTCATACTTAGAACCTGTATTTAAACGTCATCCATATATACGTGCTCGATCTGAGTCATTCTGACTTCCAACTTCTAAAATGCCACTCAAAGAAGTAAAAAAAAATTAAAATATTTTCCAACTACCAGCCCTTATATATTGGGTCATGTATCTGATTGGCCTAATGACTAAATGGGTGATGTTCAGATGTGTTTACTACTGTCTGCACAGGTATGTTGACATGCACTAACTGGGACATGTGTCATGACCTATGATGTAATGAATGTCTGGAGCAGGCCCACCTGTACTGGAAGCCCTATGTCACACAATCCAGAGATAATCATACATATGCATGTGTATGATCATGTAAATGAGGCAGATGATGCACACAACATCACTGAAGCAGGAATATGTAATCTGACAAAACATATCCATGATCATGATGAGCAAAAACATAATTCACAACATATCAGTTCTGCCAGCAACCAGGGGCGGTTAAAGTGTTGGCTCGTCACGCCGAAGACCCGGGTTCGAATCCCCACATGGGTACAATGTGTGAAGCCCATTTCTGGTGTCCCCCGCCGTGATGTTGCTGGAATGTTGCTAAAAGCGGCGTAAAACCAAACTCAGTCAGTCAGTCTGCCAGCAACCAACGTGTATTTATGTTGTGACAAGAGTCATCAGAAGATGACAAATCCCCCTGGCCCCTACAAATTTGAAAGAACAAATCATCGACAGTTACTTAAAGTTCAACATGCTTTTTTTTACTAGGTCCACTTCGCTTCAACAGAAATTATGAAAAAAATAAATGCCAAAAGTCTGCAAATAGCAAAAGCACGACTTCAAAATTTATTTGATATATATGCCACATCATGTAGAAAGACATTGTACGGTTTTCAAGTTGAGCTCCAGAAATGAAGCTCACCCCTCCCTTTTGAGACTAAGTCTGAAGAGTTTCCATGGAAACCGAGAAAAATACAAATGCCAAAAATCTGCAAATAGCAAAAGGCACCACTTTGGGATCTGTCTGATATATCTGCCAAGTTTTATTGATACATATTGAGTGATTTTTGAACTATGCTCCAGAAATGAAATCCACCCCTTTTTCAAACCAAATTGTTTTCATGGAAACCCAGAAAAACAAAAATGCCAAAAATCTGTTAATAGCAAAAAGCACCACTTCAGGTTCTGTTTGATATATATAACAATTTTTGTTGAAAAATATTGAACATTTTGTTATTTATGTTCCGGAAATGAAATGATTACGGACGGATGAGGCATTGACTATACACACACACCCCACCCCTGCATTATATGCCAGAGGGATAATAATGCAGTCTCGATACACTGTTGGGTAGTGTAGTGTGACAGCCATCCCGGTGACACATCTGTAACAACATAGGCTACATCTAAGATAACTCTGGCAAAGGTTAGGGTTAAAGGTCAGGGCTAATTGCCCTACACTTTTTACAGGATCAGTTGTGAATATAACATTGTCAGATACACTGAGAGATGTTTCAATTTAGAATAAAAGATCCATTGTAACATATTTAACAGTTTGACATAATAAAATATGCTCTTCTGGAAATACCAGATTGTTACAAGGTTCAGGGATATGGATTGTCAGTGAAGAAGCTATGTAGCATGTATCAGGCAAACTTCAGGAAATCAGTTTTTGTGACAAATCAATATTCTTTTATTTCTATTTTCTTAGAGATATTTTAGGTTTATATTCAGTGCAGTACTGTTAAAAGTCTGCAGTAACCCTTCACTGGTCTAGTTAGGTTAAACACATGTCAGCTGTTAAAGAGTAAAACATAATCCATGATGCCATGAATCACAATAACCTGAGTAAGGAAATTTACATTCCAGTTATGCCACAAACCTAAGACCTAACAGTGACCCTGAGAACACTCCTGAGTCAGAGGCAGTAATGTGAAGACCCCATGCCATCCCTGTCCACAGAGTGAGTGAGTGAGTATGGTTTTATGCCACTTTCAGCAATATTCCAGCAATATCATAGTGGGGACACCAGAAATTTGCTTCACACATTGTACCCATGTGAGAATTGAACTTGGGTATCATCTTCGGTGTGACGAACGTTTTTACCTTCACCGCCCCATGTCCAAAGAGGAACTGATCGATGTACAAGTATGGAAGCTATAGACCCACACTACTGGTAAGAAGACTGAGGGTGTGACTTACCGTCTCTGTATTCATCTTTAACATCAATGTAGTAGTATTCCAATCCAGAGCCCTTCTTCGGCTCCTCGACTCCCTGAAGCTTGGCTATCAATGTGGTCTTGCCAGAGTCATTGTCACCTGCAGGGAATATATACAGGTGTAAGAAGGATTCTGAACATCTGTCATACTAAGCATATTATTTTCATGACCATGACGACAACTATCAAAGGATAATATTTTATGAGTCTGATATAACATGTGAAAGTTTTGTGGTCTTAAACATCTTCAACAAGTTTAATCTGTTAATCCATGCCATGTGGCGATCTTTTAGATATCATTATTACGGTGCTGTTTACTAGTTCATCACAAAAAAAGCATCATGCATTTATAAAACAACCCATCTTGAAAAATTTGATTGTGATGCATCATATACCTCCGGATATGGAGATGAATCTTTAAGATACAAATCATAGGAAGCACCTGTTCAGATGTGTTTACTGTTGTCTGTCCAGGCATGAAATGTACTAAAGCTGCACTCATCAATATTCCAGTTACCAACGGCATTCTTCAAATAGTTGAGTTGATACAATCCAAACCCTGACATCATGAACATCAATCCATTCAACTGGGGACCTAGCTGTCCACCCTACCCATTTAGTTGCCTCCTTTGACAAACATTAGTTGCTCAGAACCAATATTCTGACCCCTGAACAACCCGACAGCATGGGATATATTTCGCAAACAAAAGAATTTAAGAAGACTTTATGACTTTTCTAGTCTGTTACATTAGAAAACTTACAATCCACATGCGTAATTTTGTGTACCTTCATGAATAGTTAATTCTTGTGGTCACAAGAATTGAGTATTTACGAATATTCTTAAGAGACTGTTATATCTAAGTGAGACATGCAAAATGGAATATATTCAAGAAATTCAGTATCGCAACTTGTCTTACTTTGCCAAGGCGACTTACAGTACTGTCATTACACTATAAACAGCAATGTAGCTCCACAGACACTAAATTCTTTGAGAGGCATTTTAGAAGTTGTATAGATGAAGGAAAACCAAGTTCTATGGATAGTCAACTTCTTTATTGCAATGAGTGCGACGTTTCGGTGTAGGTACTAGGATAACGGTGTTTGTACCTACACTGAAACATCGCACTCATTGCAATTAAGAAGTTGACTATCCATAGAACTTGGTTTTACTTTACAGACACTTTAAAACAAATGTTTCAATCTAAGCGATTACATGACAAGTTTGTTAATTTAATTCGTGGATATTAAAGAAAGTATTTATGCTTAAATGTTTGTATTTGTTACTTCACATTGGTCAAACATATTGTACTCGCCACATAGTGTATTTGTTGCAGCCCCAGATTTCACAACTGACAGATGACAATGAGATTAATGTGCGATTGGTGAGTGAGTTGAGTTTTACACCACACTCAGCTATATGGTGGCAGTGTGTAAATAATTGTGTCTGGACCAGACAATCCAGTGATCAACATCATGAGCATCGATCTAAGCAATTGGGAACCGATGGTGGCTTTGATGAATATTGTGAACAAATTGTCAAAAGCATAAGTAAGGATAAGACATATAGATGAACAACTTCTTTATCCACAGGAGTGATGTTTCAGTGTAGATTCTAAGCACTCTTATCCAGCATGTACACTTATAGCAGCATAATTGAGTACTCACCTAACACTAATACTGATCTAGATGATGACAACTTGGAGGCTGAGCTGGACTGAACCTCACTCAAAATATGGGCCCTGAAAAAGACAAAAATGGTTGTTAAGGATGATTAGGTTTATTAGAAGTAATAGAACTGTGAAGTTTCTAACAGCAAATACAAGAAACCTACATCAGGTGACCATGGTGTGTGGGAGTGCAGGCAGGATCAATAGTCTGATGCCAGCATTTGACTAATTTGAGTCATCAGTAAGCTTGATAGGCCCATAGGAAAATATCTAGGTTTCTAAATTAAGTGTTCTTAGTTGGCAAATTGGGGAAACACTTGTGACATTGCTGGTGCACAGGGAATCAACCTGGTCACACCCCCTGACCATCTGATCCATTCAGTCATGTTAGGGCCAGCTCAGGTTGAGAGGACCACTCTAACCAAGAATAACAACAGGGGTCACCCCTAATGTACACTTTCATCAATGTGTATGGCCGACATGTAGTCATCACAAACACAGACAGCGTGACCTCACAGGCAAATACTTTCATCCAATGGTTAGTCTTGTCACCTTGAGAAAATAAGAAAGCTGACAAAAAGTATAGTGAGTGAGTTTAGTTTTACGCCGCACTCAGCAATATTCCAGCTATATGGCGGCGGTCTGTAAATAATCGAGTCTGGACCAGACAAGCCAATGATCAACAACATGAGCATCGATCTGCGCAATTGGGAACCGATGACATGTGTCAATCATGTCACTTTTTGTCAGCAAGCCTGACCACCCATCCTGCTAGTCGCCTCCTACACATAAAGTATAGAGTTAACTACAGGCATGAAACCCTCATGCTTCAAGAACTATATTTTATTTCAGCAACAATCCTGTATCAGCATGAAACCATACAGGTAATATGATTTCATGCAACTTGCCTAAGATATAGACCTTGCACCAGTACACACATTGGACTTTCAGTTCCACTGGAATACATACATTCATATCTCAGTAAAGTACTGACACCCATCTTCTATTACATAAAGTTGATATTTCACATTGCCATGTCAATGACTTGAATTGCTGAAATAGTTTGTGACTTGTAATTGATTGCCACAACTGTTATAAATATCAACGAAGATCTTAGTGACAACATGTTATTCTGAGACACCCCAGTCCTACATACACTGACATTGACAAGACAAATGGACTTGATGGAGTGCATGTTCCTGCTGCAAAACGAGCTCAGCCTGTTTGTTTCCCTTGAATGAGGCAGCCCGTCCAACACCATAGTGTCTTCATACTGGGATCTAACTATGAACTACATATCTAGGGGTCTACAGTGCCCCCTGTTACTAACTTCAAGGGTCTGTACAGGAAATATGCATGTCCTGCAAAGTACAAAATGGTGAAGCCCTCAGTACTGTAAGATTTAATAATTAATATTACAGAAAACTTTAAAATCCGGTACATTGAGTACTGTTTTGAGTACCCCAGCGTGCAATGTATATTTTCCTGCATCAATTCTACACAATTGTGTATAATGGATGCGAAAAATCCCAGTGGTAGTCAACTACATACTTTGAGAATAAATGAGGGGAATTACGAATAATCGGTTCAGAGACGGGGAAGTCCATGGACTTGCAAAATTCATTTACAACCCCTCTTACTTTTAGCTACTTTGTTATTCAACAGGGTTTTACATGACACGAGATTCCTGCGTATTTGACGCAACAATTTTGTAAACAACTCTCAAAATATTATCATACGAGTCAAGCTTGACGCAAATTTTATGGGTGGCCCTCACAATTCAGTTCAATAAAATCGATTTGATAAGCAAAAAGTGACACTGTTCGATGATAGTTTGACTTTTACAGAGCTATCAGATTGTTCCAGAGAACTCAGAGACAGTAATCCTGGCTGTTTGAATTGAACAATGCTGTAGTTTCATTTGGTGGTGTGACATACACAGTTACATACTGAGAATGATTAACACAAAGACATATTAAAATTTTTATGACTCCCAAATATTGAAAATGACTCCCCAAAATAAATATTGTGAGTCACCATTACTCCCATTTTTAAAAGTCAGTGTAAAACCCTGATTCAATATATCATTCACTGATAAGTTCATGACTAATAAGGCAGGATACCTCATGGATGACACAACTCCTTTATCATGTTTATTGTATCATGATGTGAAATTTCAACTTAGATTCTTATACCATTATAAAGCAAGAGTTTGAATTGCTGCTAGAGTATTTGAATCAGGGAACTACTGAATATGTTAAATGTCATAATTTAAACGTTGAATTGTTTAACACATGAATTATTTACTCAGGGCTCCAGATAAGGGCCGTATCGGCGTATATATGGCTAAAAGATATGCACAATACGGTAGGAAATAATTTAGAAAACGTAGCACACATGCACCACAGCAATGCTGTACGGTCTTGGAATCATTTACAGACGTATTTATCTGATAGAGTGTTGTTTTATTGTTTATTGACCTGTTTACACAAGAGTAGCAATGTTGTGGTGCATATATGAAACGAAACACAGGATTACTGATACGCCATTAAATTCCATTCAGTACTCAAAATGTACTCTTAAGTTTTTCCACTACTCCTATATTGAAAAATTATCTGCAGCCCTGATTTACTACAATAAAGTAAAAACCATGATAACACTAATATGTTTTTATGCCTGTTTTGTGGTCTTTCCCAATTCAATTAAATGTGAGTTTAATAAATACCAAACCTCATCAGATAATGAGAAAATGTGGTTAAAATTATGATGATTATGCAAGAACAAAAGTTGGTCAAGAAAATATATAAGTCTACGCAAAAAGCTTTTGAGTACATCTGTTGTGTCCTGACATGTGTCTGTAGATTGATATGAGTATTGGCACATGTGATGCATGTACTATCTATCAGCATTAGTTCTAGCACCATTAGCATACTTGTCTGAAAAACTTGCCATCAGCGACCAAAGCGTCATGCTCGTATTGTGGCCCAACACCTACAAACAGCAATGCTACCTCAGTTGGTGACTTTAGCCACCAATCTCTGCAGCATACGTCAAATTAAACATAATCAATGACACAAATGGTTATTTCTAAATTAAATCAAAGATTTATTAAAAGCTCAACATTTCTTAAGTTTGCGTCAGCTATCAGGGTTCAGCAAAGACACAGGTCCAAATACCTTTGTTTCTGACAAGTAACCATAGTAACCTTAGTTTCAGCATTGGAAGCTTTAATGTTCATAAATAACATTAAGATCTAAAAATGATACACATCAGGTCATGCTTGTAGACTCAAATTTTTATGTCACACACCATTATCATTGTCAAACCTCCTCAGGCGTATGGCAACCATCCCACCATAGACAGACTGTAAGTTGTAACCAAGGAAGAAGAATGTCTGCAGAGCTGGTAATGTACATACATGTACCAAATCTTGACAGACATTAGTGAAATAAGGGTGTTTCGTTCTTAACCATGCAAACCGTAACACATTTATTTGTTGATATATACATTGTTAATGCACTCATAAGCTCTTAACAGGCAAGCAATAATCTAACCAAATGCTGTGTGTCTAATAATTGCTCTTTGTGCAGAATGTGGTGTTATGAACAGTCAACAACTGAATGAACAGTCAACAACTGAATAAACAGTGCAAATCAAAACATGCATCAAAATCCAGATGCACAAACAACAATGAACCATTTAAACGGAAGAAGCTGAGTGTGATAGTCAAACGGGATATGTGTTGACGATTGACAACAGGTGCTCGCAATTTCGTGAGTAGTCATTTATGTCTGGAAGGGTCGTCCCCAGTAACACACACCAGGTAGTTGATTGATATAACCTCTATACCCACGTGTATAATAGGATAATTGATTTAAGGTAGACAGCTAAAATATCATTCGTATCTGGCTGAAGGCAAAGATCATTATAATTTTGTCCGACAAAAATTCTTGTGCAGTTCTGTCATCGGGCATAACCCATATTCGAGGGGAAATGGGAATTATCAATAGTTAGATACGTCGATTACTTGATCTTCATTTGAAATGCAATTACCACAAATTTTGAGAGTCATCTGTTGAGCCATCATCCCCAACCGACGTGCCCATCCTGTCATCCTTTTCTCCGATGGGCGCCATGTTGCTCCGAAATGCCCCGTATCAGCTACTTCGGACCAACTCGGATATTGTCGTGTTCAATATTTATCAACCGGAATGTGCCGAACTTAGGCGAAGAATGTCAGCAGACCGAGCGCGCATGCGTAAGCACCGACAGGTAATTCATGCGGCGATGATTCATCTGTGATGTCACATGTAAACACGATGAATTTTTCCGATAGCGTCCATAAGTTAACTTTTAAAAGTTGAAACTTTTACTGCACGAGTTCAAAACAGTGCTACCAATTCATTATTCATATCGTGCATTGGAGGTATCAAATGTATTGTGGTAGACATTCACATCCAATCACTCTTGAGCAGACGAATATGTACTGCTTGACAGACGCAACGATAACCCCAAACGAGAGTTATCCCCCTTTTCTTGTTTTGTCTCTCAGCTGTCGGAAGATCGGCATACCTGAACAAGTTTGACCCCCACAGAGATATAAGTACAACAGTATGTACCATTTCTTGTTGATAAATAAATCTAGATTTAAATTTGTCTGTGATAAACTTTTCTCCGTCTCTGATTCTGTGCAAAATAGTGATCTGAGAGTGAACTTTAATGCAGATCCACAAATGGAAGGCTATAAAATGTCCACACACTGACATAGACTAATACAACTTACAAACATATTGTAAATTGTTGAAAATCTACCATTATAAATATCTCCCAAACCTAGATGAGATTATGTCAGTTTTGTCACAAACATAGTGAACTGATGCACATAGATTAATTGTGGGGATATCCTATTTGCAGTTTATGTCCTTGTGTTATGGTTTTCATATGCTTTACAACACCCACAGGAACATTTCCAAAACATGTCACTATATTATCAAACAGAAACAACTTTTTCTTATACATAAGCTATTATCCATGTTTTTGCAATGTCTGTGCTGAGACCATATGATCTCTGGTCTGTGTGACACAAACTGCCTCCCTATAGCAAGAGTCTGAAAATGTACGATGTCCGAAAACCGATGATCCAACGATAATATCCCAGGAATGTGAGGCTTACATACACAAAACAGTCCTAGAGCTATGACGTTCAGTAAGTTAAAGGGTGGAAGTTAGACATCTTTGTAACTGACTTTTAGTTTTGAAAAAGTGACCTAGTACAGAAATTTCGTTCTATACCAGCTTGTTTGTCTCAGATGAGTGGTGTCAGTTAGCAAGATGGCCCTGGATTGTGTGATGCTGACGAACCACCGTCCACGGCGTCAGCTTATCACCCCGGCAACCACTGACCAAAAGTTCCTGGCTGCGATCAAACACGAACCTGTTTCCACAGTTGTGCAGCTTCTAACAAAGGATGTTGATATTAATGGCAGGGGAGACAACTGCTGGACACCTCTCACCCTTGCTTGTCGTCTCGGGAGAAGAAGTGTTGTTAATATTCTGCTTGAAACACAGGTAAAGATCATCTAAGTTACAGTGTCCCTAGGTACAAATACTAAAACACCAATTCCCACCTTGATTTTAAATGCATTTAATGAGGACTAGAGTCAGACTGCCTCTGCTAGAGGCAGAGTTGAATCTTCAGCTGTATTTTTTGGTTATTTGTAATAATTCATTTGAGTATATACATGTTAATTTTGTGTATTGAGACCACAAAATCCCCCCTGCTTTTCCAGAAACCCCATGGAAGACCTACTGTTTCCATTGAATTTGTTGAATCTCCATGGTATGTACAGTCACAGCCATGAGGACCCATTCTGCCCTATTACTCGATATGACCCAAATTCCAACAGGTTTGACATTTATGTTTCAGTCAGAGGATGACATCTGCGCCCAAGCAAGATCCCGCCAAGCTACATGTGATGTCAACAAAAGCAATGACAACGGGGACACGCCCCTCATCTGTGCAGCCAGGGAGGGTCACACTGATGTAGTTGAGGTCCTCCTTCAGGCAGGGGCTGACCCAAACCTTCCCAATCAGTACAGCAGCTTGACCCCTCTTCTTGTTGCTATTGATAACAGTCACATTGAGACGGTGGTGTCTCTTTTGTCATACGAGGCTGATGTTCAGCTTACAGACAATGTGAAATTAACGCCATTGTATATGGCCATCAAGGTGAAGGACTGTGATATACGTGACATGATAACTCAGCGGCTAATAGAAGCAGGCTGTGATGTGAATATTGGAAGTCAAGACCATGCCCCCATCTTCCTGGCGGCCAGACTGGGATACCTGTCTACTGTGGAGGTGAGGAGGGTTGTCCACTGCTGGGGTGGTGTGGTTGCGAGGGTGGAGGGTTGTCCACTGCTGGGGTGGTGTGGTGGTGAGGGTGGAGGGTTGTCCACTGCTGGGGTGGTGTGGTTGCGAGGGTGGGGGGTTGTCCACTGCTGGGGTGGTATGGTTGTGAGGGTGGAGGGTTGTCCACAGCTAGGATGGTGAGGATGGAGGGTTGTCCACAGTTGGGGTGGTGTGGTGGTGAGGGTGGAGGGTTGTCCCCTGCTGGGGTGATGTGGTTTTGAGGGTGGAGGGTTGTCCCCTGCTGGGGTGGCGAGGGTGGAGGGTTGTCCACTGTTGTGGTGATGTGGTTGTGAGGGAGGAAGATTGTCATCTGCTGGGGTTATGTGGTTGTGAGGGTGGAGGGTTGTCCCCTGCTGGGGTGGCGAGGTTGGAGGGTTGTCCACTGTTGGGGTGGTGTGGCTGTGAGAGTGGAGGGTTGTCTACTGCAAGGGTGGTGAGGATTGAGGGTTGTCTACTGCAGGGGTGGTGAGGGTGGAGGGTTGTCCACTGCAAGGGTGGTGAGGGGGGAGAGGGTGTGGGGTTGTCCACTGCAGGCTTGGTGAGGGTGGAAGGTTGTCCACTGCAAGGGTGATTTGGTGGTGAGGGTGGAGGGTTGTCTACTGCAGGGGTGATGTGGTTGTGAGGGTGGAGGGTTGTCTGCTGCTGGTGTGGTGTGGTTGTGTGTGGAGGGTCTTCCACTGCTGGGATGGTGTGGTTGCTGCGAGGGTGTGGTTGCGAGGGTGGAGGGTTGTCTACTGCTGGTGTGGTGAGGGCGGAGAGTTGTCCACTGCAGGGGTGGTGAGGGGGGAGAGGGTGTGGGGTTGTCCACTGCAGGCTTGGTGAGGGTGGGGGGTTGTCTACTGCAGCAGTGATGTGGTTGTGAGGGTGGAGGGTTGTCTACTGCAGGGACAGTGGTGGTGAGGGCGGAGGGTTGTCTACTGCAGGGACAGTGTGGTGGTGAGGGCGGAGGGTTGTCTACTGCAGGGACAGTGGTGGTGAGGGGTGGAGGGTTGTCTACTGCAGGGACAGTGTGGTGGTGAGGGCGGAGGGTTGTCTACTGCAGGGACAGTGGTGGTGAGGGCGGAGGGTTGTCTACTGCAGGGACAGTGTGGTGGTGAGGGCGGAGGGTTGTCTACTGCAGGGACAGTGGTGGTGAGGGTGGAGGCTTGTCTACTGCAGGGACAGTGTGGTGGTGAGGGCGGAGGGTTGTCTACTGCAGGGACAGTGTGGTGGTGAGGGCAGAGGGTTGTCTACTGCAGGGACAGTGTGGTGATGAGGGTTGAGGCTTGTCTACTGCAGGGACAGTGTGGTGGTGAGGGCGGAGGGTTGTCTACTTCAGGTAATTGTGTCAAAGTGGTGTGTGATGATTTAATTGGATGTGATTCACTTATCTGTGATACTCACACATACACACAGGCATGCATGTACCCATGTACATACATGCACACATGCATGCAATCATTCACGCAGACCTGTGCTTAGATATTTGTTGACAAAGTGATTATGTTTTCAGATATTGTGTGAAGCTGGTAGTGATGTTAATGTATCCAACAAGTATGGTGTCACCCCTCTGTATGAAGCCGCAATGAAAGGTGGGCCACTGAGAACATCCCTTATATCATAACTTTAATTTGAATAATTCAACATTAGAAATGGTGCACACTGCACAGCTAATTATCTTTTTTTTAGAAGTAATGTTATGGATTAAATGCCCAAGCTTGATGACTGAGTATCGTCATATCCTGATGGCATGGTATGTAGTGCATTATGATGATCACTAGTCCAGACTATATTTTATATAGGCCACCATCATATAACTTGAATATTGCTGAGTATGATTTCAAAACTGTTGTGCTGCCCAACGTGACATGCATTATCTGCTGTGCAGGACACAATGAAGTCGTGAGGTACCTGTTGTCTCAGGGATGTGAACTCAACAAACAGGATATGTACGGTGTTGGACCCCTACATGTGGCGTCAGTCTTCAACAACGCAGAGGCGGTCAATATGCTCATCACAGGTATGTTAACACGGATGAAACAACACCATACAACATCACAGGTGTTGCCATAACGACCATTGTTGTCCCCCACCGCAACGAAGAACAGGGGACTATGTATTCAGCAGCGTCCGTACATCAGTCCGTACTTATTAAAGCAATATCTCATGAACTGTTTTTCCCAATGTTTTCAAATTTGGTAACAGCTTTCTTTAGGGGATTACACAGACACCAGTCAATTTTGGTGACCTTGACAATATCTTCAAAGTCACCACGACAATTTGACCACTTTTCAAACTCTTGTTAACGTGACATCTCATGCACTGTTGTACCCAATGTCTTCAAATTTGGTGACAGCCTACATTGGGGGATTTCACAGACACCGGTCATTTCAGGCATCTTGTATGTGACCCAAAAAATACATAGTAGTAAATATGTCATAAATATTTCATTCTTCTTTAGCGGCGGGGACATTGCCATATTAGTGGCAAACACTTGTTGTACTAGTTGTCGAGCCAGCTCCTGAATTATTTGTGCCTGTTACAGAGCTCCAGATAAGATTTAGCTCATGTGGGTACTGTACCTATTTTTTGGAGTGGGTATTTCATTTCCCGTTACCCATTGCTTTCAAATATGTGCGTATTTCAGTCATTTTACTCACCTAAGTATTATGTCATTGAGTAAGTTTACTAAGCAGGTATGTGCTGCCTTATGTCATACCTAATCAAAACCAACTTAAACATAATGGAAATGATTTCATAAAAAATCACTCATCCTATACTAACAGTACAACACTTGTCCTATACTAACAATACAACTTGATAGCAATCAATGTCTTTTTCATTACGCAAGCGATTTTTATAAATATATTCCGTACTCATTTGTTTTGAACTTTTTGCGTATCTAACATCAGTGCATAATTGGTACGCAACAATTATTTTTCAATGCATAGTTGGAAATTTTCTATGGGTATTTTACCTGGATACGCAGCTTATCTGGGCCTCTGCTGTTATCTCTCTGGGTTGCCTCTGTCACTCTTTTGCTGTCTAGTTTGGGGTGAGGATTGGGGTGGTGGGGTAGCCTAGTGGTTTAAGCTTTGGCTCATCACCCTGAAGGCCTGGGTTCGATTCCAGTTTGGAATAGGTTCCCCGCAGTCTATGCTGGTCAGGCTTGTTGAATCGGTTGAGTGTATGTCATTGCACTCTAGGGCACAAACGATTGCTTACAATATCAATCACTGGATTGTCTGGTCAGGACTTCACAGCCATTACCATACAGGTCGAATATTGCTCAGTGATTGTTAAACAGGCTATGAAAAAACAGCGACTTTTATAAATACAAAAAAACCAGTGATTTTTATAAACACAATAAATGCTGATCAGGGCTGATCTATCACAATGAATATTTTCTGACTCTAGGCCCAGATTAGTTAATGATAGAGTGTTTTTCGTCTGTGCTCATGGCAACTCTAGCGTTTTATTTCAGCGGGCGCCAGCATCAAGCAGCGTGACCAGAGCGGCAGGTGTGCTGTACATGCGGCGATGGAGCAGGGCTTTGCAGACGTTGTGGAAGTCTTCTTGCGTCATGGTGTGGACATCACACAAGCCCCTACCAGTGTCAGAAAGTGAATATGTGTTTACTCTCTGCAGGTTTAACTGCAACTTCGTCACCTACACTGGAACATATCCCCAGCAACATGTGCTTGTTATAAGCAACAACTAAAGTGTTTCTGTTTGTATAATCTAACTGTATGATGAAGGTCTGTAAATAGTCAGGTCTGGAGTGACCGATACAGTGACTGACATCATCAGCCTCCATCTACGCATCTGAGATATGGTGTTATCCATGCACTAATCTTGACAACCCGAATCCCATAGTTGCCTCTTATGTCAAACAGTGATTGCTGATGATTAGTTCTAACCTGGATATTCACAGGTAGCAAGTAAAGTAGATCAGTGGATAGGCATGTTTCACATTGTAGTTGTTACTACTGCATTTACTGTATATGTATGCTCATGATGTCAATCACTGGTTTATCTGGTCCAGAACTGATTATTTACATGCTGCTGTCATGTAGGTGGAATACTGAATACCTAACAAAAGAAAGTAAGATATTGTTACTGCTTTGTTAGTACAGCCTGATTAAATTTTATATGAGTTTTAGCTCTTGTTGTTTTAGCTATGCTTGTTTCCCTGAGGTGTCTGAATAACTACCTGTATCAACAGTCCTCACCTTGATTTACAGTGAAACTTCGTTAACACGATACGACTGGGACCATCAATATACCTTCGACTTGTCCTGGTTTCAGCACGAGTGAGTGATGATACTTGGGAGATGTTATGGCCAGAATATCCAAAGGGAGACAAGCATGGGGTACGGGGGATACAATGACCAGGGATGAGTGTCGTAGCTCAATGTTAAGGCATGGGAGTCATGATTACACTAGGTTGGTTTGTATAACAGCAGCCAGGGCCCGATTGCAGTGCTAACATAGGTGCATCCAGGAATTTCCAATTTTTTTTATTTTATTTTATTTTATTTTATTTTTTTATTATTATTATTATTATTTTTATTTTTCTATTTTTTTATTTTTTTTATTTTTTATTTTGGGGAAGAAGGGGGAGGAGAGCAGAGAGAGGGGCAGGAATTTCCAAATGAGGGGGGATTCGGGGGTTTGTTTTGTGTTTTTTGAACCCCTTGTACCCTATCTTGGCTCCGCCAATGCAAAACATAACTACTTCAATCAGATCTTTAGTCATTTTCAAAGGGTGGGGGGTGGGTTGGGTCGAACCCCCTGAAGCCCCCTTTGGATCAGCCAATGGCTAAGGTGATCTAATAGAGAATTTTGATTGTCTCTGAGTTTACATTACTTTGTTCAAGGGGGCCAAGATACAAGCCTAGAGTACTGAGGATGTGTTCTTACAAGATAAATTAGGGACACAAGCTTGGGACTGGTACTGCTAGGGACTTTTCATACCAGAATTCCTTTAGGGGGATGGGGTACTGTAGACATGGTTTCACCAGAATCCCACAGGGATGGGGTACTGTAGACATGGTTTCACCAGAATCCCACAGGGATGGGGTACTGTAGACATGGTTTCACCAGAATCCCACAGGGATGGGGTACTGTAGACATGGTTTCACCAGAATCCCACAGGGATGGGGTACTGTAGACATGGTTTCACCAGAATCCCACAGGGATGGGGTACTGTAGACATGGTTTCATCAGAATCCCACAGGGATGGGGTACTGTAGACATGGTTTCACCAGAATCCCACAGGGATGGGGTACTGTAGACATGGTTTCACCAGAATCCCACAGGGATGGGGTACTGTAGACATGGTTTCACCAGAATCCCACAGGGATGGGGTACTGTAGACATGGTTTCATCAGAATCCCACAGGGATGGGGTACTGTAGACATGGTTTCACCAGAATCCCTCAGGGATGGGTACTGTAGACATGGTTTCACCAGAATCCCTCAGGGATGGGTACTGTAGACATGGTTTCACCAGAATCCCTCAGGGATGGGTACTGTAGACATGGTTTCACCAGAATCCCTCAGGGATGGGTACTGTAGACATGGTTTCACCAGAATCCCTCAGGGATGGGTACTGTAGACATGGTTTCACCAGAATCCCTCAGGGATGGGGTACTGTAGACATGGTTTCACCAGAATCCCTCAGGGATGGGTACTGTAGACATGGTTTCACCAGAATCCCTCAGGGATGGGGTACTGTAGACATGGTTTCACCAGAATCCCACAGGGATGGGGTACTGTAGACATGGTTTCACCAGAATCCCTCAGGATGGGGTACTGTAGACATGGTTTCACCAGAATCCCTCAGGGATGGGGTACTGTAGACATGGTTTCACCAGAATCCCACAGGGATGGGGTACTGTAGACATGGTTTCACCAGAATCCCACAGGGATGGGGTACTGTAGACATGGTTTCACCAGAATCCCACAGGGATGGGGTACTGTAGACATGGTTTCATCAGAATCCCACAGGGATGGGGTACTGTAGACATGGTTTCACCAGAATCCCACAGGGATGGGGTACTGTAGACATGGTTTCACCAGAATCCCACAGGGATGGGGTACTGTAGACATGGTTTCACCAGAATCCCACAGGGATGGGGTACTGTAGACATGGTTTCACCAGAATCCCACAGGGATGGGGTACTGTAGACATGGTTTCACCAGAATCCCAACACTGTCACAAGCAGGGCAGAAATTACAGCACTGTTTATGAACTGACCAATTATTAATCGTTAGAGGCTATGTATCAAACATTATCGTCTTCATTTGTCAGACTGTTACTATTCAGGCAAAAGGAGAGGCATTGTTTAGATATGAGCCTATAGATGTTAGTTAACATGTTTTCATGGATTATGCTTTATTTCTGCCTTGAGTATAGCGTCCAGCATCTTGTTGCAGACTCTCTTCCTTAAACAAGCTGTTTGAACATGGCCACAGAGCTGTGATCTGCATCCTGTTACGAGGCTGCACCCAGCTCCCTCTGTTCAGGTGTCAGGCTGCGTTAAACATCTTCAGGTACACAGCGAAACGTCCAGACATACATGTGTATAAATTGTCGAATTCACACTCTACCCTCATGTGTTGATGTGTGTCATGTTGTCTGTCGGTCTTTACTCTAACCTTTTGTTTCGTCTTAGAATAGGCTGAATGAATGAACATGATGCTTGGGGCAGTGTCTAGCACCACAACAGGGGTAGACATGGCAAGACAGAATTCTACTGATCTTTAGTGCTTGGTAAAGGAATATGATAGTTATTGATAGTGAACTAGCGTAATAGGCATGACAGATGACTGTTGAGACACTGTATCCTCGGTTTAAAATATCTGTTTAATATCAATAGAGTTCATCTTCAGCTAAATCAGAGCCTCAGGCATGACGGAATAACAAAATCATTTGTTAATGAATGAATAGAGTATTTGTATCTCAGCCACACTGAACTACAAATCTGAGTGAGTGAGTTGGGTTTTACACGCTTTTAGCACAGTGGCGAGCATCAGAAATTTGGATTCAAACATTGGCAACCCCACCACTCCTCTGCAAATCTGAAGCTACACCAAAAAATGGTTATTCATTTCCTTTGATAAGGGAGAACGTCACAGGTCAAAGGTTATTTGTTGTAAGTGAAATTTAAACAGAGAATATTCATTCTAATATTGATTGCACTTAGATAATTATCCTTGGTGTGATGCCAAACTGACAGAAGCAGTCATAAAATCTCTATATACAACTAATGTCCTAAAGACAGGCATACTTATAAATCTATGTTTAAATAATGTTTGTTCTATGATAATTACAGTCATAATAATAGTTAAAGTTTCTTACAGGCATCTCTTTGAACTTTGTGCATTGTTGATGATGTTGCAAACATTGAAGACTAGTTCTGTTTGATTTGTTGACGTTGTCAGTGTCTGGATGTATTGAGCAGGTGCTTGTTACCATAACATTTTAATCTACAGTTGATGGAATATATTTTTGACATAATTGTCCTATGAAACAGACCACTTTATACACATTAGGAACAACAAGAATTTATCAAGGATTCCAAATGAGTGAGCGAGTTTAGTTTTACGCCGCAATATTCCAGCTATATGACAGTGGTCTCTAAATAATCGAGTCTGGACCGGACAATCCAGTGATCAACAGGATGAGCATCGATGTACACAATTGGGATACGATTACATGTGCCAACCATGTCAGCGAGCCTGACCACCCGATCCCGTTAGTCATCTTTTACGACAAGCATTGGTTACTGAAGATCAGTTTTAACCCGGATCTTCACGGGTGGATTCCAAATGAAGTGCCTTTGGCAGTCAAACTGGCAAAAGCTTGTTAGTTATCATTTGGATTTTAGTACAATTCTTATTTTTTAAAGTTCAAAGCTATTTAACAATGCTTTAACACAAATTAAATCCTCTCCCTCTATATTTTTCATGTTTCCAGTTATCAGTAAAATATATGTCACCTGCACAGACAGCAATAGTTGTGGACATATTAACATGATTTAACTTTGCCTTGGTGCTGTTACTTTTTATGATAGCTTGGAAAGTCTGGAATATGAAAGTGTTGGAATTATGATGCAATTGTTTTGCCTGAAGAATGAGGTATTGGTGTAATTGCCCTGCACAATTCTTGATGGACATTGTTCTCGTCTTGTTTCCCTATTGACAGAGGGTGGTGGGGTAGCCCAGTGGTTAAAGTGTTTACTCGCCCGGGTTCGACTCTCCACATGGGTACTTTGTGTGGGTACCATTTCTGGTGTTCCCTGCCATGATATTGCTGGAATATTGCTAAAAGCGGCATAAAACTAAACTCACGTGTTGACAGAGGTCATTTGTTTAATGTGCATATGTACCAAAAATGTACAGTCATTGTGAGAACTCTTTTAACTCAGGACCCCTCCTAGAAATATACAGCTTGGTAATGATGATGATGAAATTGGATAAAAAATCTAGTTACCATGATATGTCATGCACAAACTAGAGCAGCAAATCTTTTACAGTCTCCATTTGTCAAATAAATTGACTGTTGACAGATCCGACCTTGACCTCGTGGAGCTGTTACTTGTGTCTGGCCTGAGAGGAACTGCAAGCGTGTTCTTGATGTCACAGCATCCATCCCAGCATCTACTGGACCCCCATGTTGCAGCATGGCTTGACCAGTTCCACAGAACCCCCCAGTCTTTGCAGAACCTCTCCCGTATAAAGGTGCGCAGGTGTCTGGGAAACAAAGTCCTTCACCTAGTTCCACAATTGCCACTTCCAAAGAGGTTGATAGAGTTTTTAACCCTTTCACCTACTTGAGGCACAATATGTGTAAACAAAACACATGTGTTATCCCAGTGATGTTTTATTGTATTTAGTCTGACCTTAACCGAAACCTGGTGATGTTATATCCTGTCCACACCCTCTGTGATTACTAGGATTACTCTAGGATGGCTTTGGGGTTGACAGGCTTAGTCCTACATGAATGACTATATGCTGTGCATGGAAGTCATGCTCTGAAACTCTCCACACCCTTGGATTACAGTTTATGGAAAATCACAGCTAGGAAACTATGGAAAAGTTTGATGGATTCATTACAGCTAACCTTTCAGGGTGTGTGGAAGATTCCCATTGCAGATTACCAATCTACTGTGCTGCGTTTCATGAGTGCAAAATATGCAGCTTTGAAATTTAGTGCCAAGTTTGCTTCTGATACTGAATGGTCATCAGTTTTCTGCAAGTGGTTTTCAAACCATGTTGGAGAGAGTACTGCGTTACTGGCATGTGTTTAGTACTTGTTATTTCATATTTATTGTATCATTACACTTTTACTAATTGCATAATTTTATGTCTAAAATCTTTGAATTCCAAAATATATTCAGTTTCTTTCTGAAGCATTAAATATGATTTTTGCTTTTTGGCATAAAGAAGTGGTAAGTTATTTTATAGTGAACATCTGCATTTGATGTAGTGATCAACTTCATTTCATTTAAGCATTAACTGTGTTTTGTTTCTGGTGAATCCGAAACTGGTGTTCAAACTGTATGAATCTGCATGTATTCACATGTCTTCATAGTGTAAAGACACTCGGACTAGGGGGACATTGACTAATAATAATGAATAATAATGTGTCCAATTTATATAGCGCCAAACTCCACGCGTAGTATGCTCATAGCACTGACTATGACAGTCTGCTCAAAGCACAGCACATTATTACCCCAGATAACCCAAGCTGCCTGTTAGGCACTAGAGGTTATAGTCACATAACTTATCCCACTGAGTATCCATTTTTCTAGAAGGTTATGGTCACATAACCTATCCCACTGAGTATCCATTTTTCTAGAAGGTTATAGTCACATAACTTATCCCACTGAGTATCCATTTTTCTAGAAGGTTATAGTCACATAACTTATCCCACTGAGTATCCATTTTTCTAGAAGGTTATAGTCACATAACTTATCCCACTGGGTACCCATTTTCTGCTGCGTGAACGGAGGCAATATTGAACAAACTCACTTGCCTAAGGTGAGACCACATGTATCACATGTGTTTTGTTGTGTGGCAGGACTGAAGTCCTGGAAACTGTCAGGAGTCAAGCTGCCAAACACATCCTCAACACTGTTCATGCAGTGTGTCATGTCAGCTAAGTACATATTTACCTGCTGTGTTTCTCTGTGATGAGCATCTTCAGGCTTTGGTGTTGCTGGAAAACAACACATCAATAATCTGTGATTGGCATTTTAGAAGTTGGTGAGTAATAAGAAAGTAAGATACGTTATGGATGACAACATCTCTATTATATTATAATGCAACGTTTTGGTATAGATTCTTATACCGTTGTCAAGCAAGAGGGAAGTACTACAGCACAGAACAGACTTATATAGATCAACAGAGATTAAGTAAAAATCAATCAACAGAGATCAAGGATATGTCATCACTTTTGCATACAATGAACTGACAAAAACAACAGAGCAGAGCACTCCAGCCATCATTACTAATTAAACTTTTAAGCCATGTGTATTTCGTTCTACCTCATGGACATTTGGCTTCCTCCTATTGTGTAACATATGTTATATTTGGGGTTACACTTTCTTAGTAAAGTACAAATTCTAGTACATTTTTGGGTTGAGTCCCATCCGGGATTCGAACCCACACCCTCAGAGTCAGGCACCTAGTCGCCAGCACACAGTGTCAGCCGCCTAACCCGCTCAGCTACCGCGACTTCCACAAAATTGGAAGTCGGACAACTGGTAGTCTAGACTGCGGACTTTGTGTACCCCTCTGAGAAGTGTAAATTGGCACAGCTCCCACTGCTGAAAGCAATGATTACACAATGCCATGTTTTAGAAATGAGGGTGTGGGTTCGATTCCCGGATGGGACTCAACCCTAAAAAGTACTAGAATTTGTACTTTACTAAGAAAGTGGAATCCCAAATATAACTGTTACATCTGACCACTTACTAAAAAATGGCATTGTGTAATCATTCTCCGATTGTCACAGCATTATTACCACTATCCATTATTGTGTTCGTTAATCCCCTTGATTTATACCTACATGTTGTTCCTACTTAATCTCTGTTGATGAAGTCCGTTCTGTGCTGTAGTACTTCACTCTTGCTTGACAACGGTATAAGAATCTATACCAAAACGTTGCAACATTATGATAGTGAAATTGTCACCCATAAAGTATCTTACTTTCTTAACACATCGGGGCGGTGGGGGAGTCTAGTGGTTAAAGTGTTGGCTCGTCACGCCGAAGACCCGGGTTCGAATCCCCACATGGGTACAAAGAGTGAAGCCCATTCCTGGTGTCCCCCGCCGTGATATTGCTGGAATATTGCTAAAAGCGGCGTAAAACCAAACTCAGTCAGTCAGTCTTAACACATCAATAAGTTAACCAGTTTTACGTTTTGAATGTGAACCTTTATTGTCACCTGTCCGTTGTTTGGCAGCAGTCTTGGTGTTGGATGATGATATGCCATCTACCACCATATATAACAATAGATGTGAATATGGAAATGTAAGCATACTATACACACCCACAATATCGAGCAAAATACTGGTGCTTGTATGTTATCCAGTATGTCTGCAGAAGTCGAAATCTTCATGTACGGCATCTCTAGTCTTGATCTTGTCCTATTTTTATTTAAATCCAGAGTATATCACAACATATGTATATTTGTTAAAATAGAACTACTTCTACTTATTTACGCAGATTGTTTTCACTTTTGAGTGTCAGATTTCCATGTGATTCAGTTTATATATCTATTTCTCTTAACTATGACACGTTTCTACAAATGGACAGTCTTAAGTATGTTGTTGGCTAAGAATTGTTTTGTTGAAAGAGATCACAAATTGCACCTGTACACATATTTTTGTTTATAATGATTTGTGATTTGTGATTGTGATTGTGTGTTAAGAATGCAGTGTTTATGGTTTGTTTGTGTCCAAAGTTTTCCCTCATACCTGCTTGCTTATCGCCCGACCTCTTCCTGTTGTGTTAATCAAGGTGAAACATGTACTGCTTCACTTTCCAACATCCACCTGCTGGGATTTGGGAACAAAAATGATCATGAACATGTCTTTCTGGGATGTGAACCCACAATCCTAACCATCTGGAAGAGGTGCAGCAGTTTGGAATACAATTCGCTCTAATAATAATAATTCGCTCTAACAGTGTAATGAAGTACACTCTTGCCCTGGACTACTATATAGTAAAGCAAGAGGACGCTTGCCTTCGTGTACTGGAAGGTAGTGATAGTCCAGGGCAAAACTGTACTTTATTATACAATACATGGGGATAGAGTGAACAGTATTCCTTTTCTGAGAAGCCAGTTTTAATACTTAATACGACTACTCTAAGGCAGAAAAACAAAACGAAAAGGGACGGCATGGCTGACGTGCTGTGATACTGTCATGTCTGGACCCCCCAAGAGATGCACTTTACCCTACGTTTGGATTAAATATCTTCTCTATATTATTTTGATTACATCTGTAATTATCGTAAACCATCTGGGGCAATATGAACGTCTCATTTCTACTACCAACGTAAGTTTAGATCAGTACATCCAGATGAAGTTGTAGTCAAACGACATTAAACGGATACCTTGTGGGAATGTGAACATAATTAGTTAGCGAACGTTGCCATGTTACTGTTTCATTTTGATTCGAGCTAAGACATTTTCCGTATAAAAAGTTAAACAAAATGTTTCCACCAGTGATGTTAGCGGAGTGAAACAACTGCAAACCAAGAAACGGGATGCTACAGGTACTGCTACCAATTTAGTGGTACTGTAGGAGACTACTTGGCAATGCCAGCTGACATGCATGTGGCGTAGGTTGCCAAGGGTACGTTTGATTACGAAGGGCAGACTAGAATTGACTGGTGATGTTAGCACAGTGTGACTAATGCAGAAAGTGTACTTTCTCACCTGATAAAGTACTGTCGGCACCTTGATCTTTTAGCAAGGTATCTTATAAGACTGGGACAAACATGCTGTGAAGGTATTGACAGCGTTATGGGCATTATGTCATTAGTGGCCGCTTTATCTTCCTGTTTTTCTCACAATATGGCAGAAATACTGCCCCCTGTGATCATAAATCTTAACTCACTAATTAACCCATTCCTCAGTGTTTCCAGTAATTAACACTTCATAACACACACCCTAACATCGACCCCGGTGCTGCCAGTGATGAAGTCAAGGTGTACGACCATGGAGTTGTGTTCTGTATGAGACCATGGGTTACAGAAGTGCTTAATGATTCATGATTTGTTGTGTGTACTGACGTGCAAGACTGAACCATTTAATGTCGTAATCAGTGGAAGATGAATGACTGCTTCACATTGCTATTCACCGGAGCGATCCATGTGAACATTTTATATTACTAATAAATTATTTAATGTTTACTGTCTCATGTTCTCTGTTGTACTGGTTCCCATCCTGATGAACCATGTCTGATTCCTTCTTACATGACCATAAACTTGATGATGTTTGTTGGGAACTATTTCCTTGGCCTGGTAGATATGGTTAACCTCTGCATGGAGATCAGAAGGTCTGGAATTCTATTGCTGACTGCACCCAACCATGTTACAGTACCTGCTTTTGCCTAGCGACAATTTCCCGGAACAGTCGTGGTCGGATATCGCAACTGCAGAGTTATTAAACCAATATTTACCGCTAAGTTAAGGGATGTCATCCCAATATTAGGCAAAATACCCATATCTTGATCTTTTTCTGAACCTGTACATCAAGGGCTTGAGCCTGTAAGAAACACTGACTATTTTTTATAATATATACTCACTGGCCATGTCTGTTCCTTTCTGGCTGAGATCAGGCCCTGCTCAGAGATATTTGACTGCGACTTAGGAACTGTTCATAATTTATGGCTTTTTTTTTTTTGTGTGTGTGCGTGCGTGCGTGCGTGCGTGCGTGCGTGTGTGTGGAGGTGGATGATGATTTTTAAGCATGTACAATGTGAGTGCCCCCCCTCCCCCCCAATTTATGTACAAGGTATGTGACCCCCTGTATGTCATGTACAAAATCAATTCCCCACCAACACACACACACACACACACACACACATTATGAACGGTCCCTTATTTCCTTAATGGCATTTAGCGTTTATTTAAATAGAAGCTTCCTAGGCAAAACGTTGAATTTGACAATATTAATTATTGTCACATGTGTAAAGTTTTTCATTCAGTTAGATTAGTGTGTGGTTGTTCACATTGCAAAGTACGAAAACAAAATTTCTCAACATTTAACTTGATGTAAAACAACAAGTTCCGTTTAAAGTTTTGCCTTGTTACGCTCCAAAGTTTGTAAGACCTACATTTCCTGACAGAAGAGGGTAGAAAGCACACGCTCAATGCAGCTACGTACCAGCTGTATTGCATCCCGCAGCGGACGACACTGAATGATGAGTCTAACCAATCAGATACCGATACACGTTCGTTGATGGAGGTGGGGATATAAACAAGTGTAAGATCTGCATCCAGGTGAGGTGTTACTAAACCTGTCTTTGATCTCCACTGTGGTGAGCTGCTGAAAACACCCCTTCTTAGATTATTATCCAGGTGAGCTGCTGCAAACACCCTGTCTCAGATCTATATCCAGGTGAGCTTCTGAAAATACCCTGTCTTAGATCTTTATCCAGGTGAGCTTCTGAAAATACCCTGTCTTAGATCTTTATCCAGGTGAGCTGCTGAAAACACCCCGTCTTAGATCTCTATCCAGGTGAGCTTCTGAAAACACCCTGCCTTAGATCTATATCCAGGTGAGCTGCTGAAAATGACCCTTCTTAGATCTATATCCAGGTGAGCTGCTGAAAATGACCCTTCTTAGATCTCTATCCAGGTGAGCTGCTGAAAATACCCTGCCTTAGATCTATATCCAGGTGAGCTTCTGAAAACACCCCGTCTTAGATCTCTATCCAGGTGAGCTGCTGAAAATAC